CAACTGTGCAAATGATAATGGAGTCTACGACAATCCTCAAATTCTTGTCATTTGCAATAATGAAATCTGTTCTGAAAAGCACTAAGATTGGGTTTGAGTCTACAGATTCTTCCAGGATGAGGAAATAATGATATCAAAGTAGTTTCAAGCAAGAGATATGACCAAAATGTAAGAATGCAAAAGATACCTCCAAGGTCATGAATCCTTTAATTAAACCCTTTAATTTACAGTCCCATAAATGAATCATTTGTTTCTACTTTACAAATAAACTCTTGACACTTGCATGGATAAAGAAGTCAACATATTTAAAGGTTCAGTGCACATAATTTTAAAGTTTATAAAATATCCCTTTGAACCAAAACTAGATGCCAGTATCCACTTAGCCAGATGGGAATCGGGACACACAAATTTGAATTAATGACCAAGTCAGAGAGGTGCTGCACTGGCAGCAATATTCCCCTCCTTCAGTAAGCAGTGGCCTGCAAATTAGCCCGAAGGAGAAAGAAGGCCACTCAGGCAGATGAGTGTGAGAGGGAAGGCTGTGCACACTCACACAAAAGCCTAACAGAAAAGCTCTGCTGCCACTGAAACTATGCTTATTCAGGAAAACCTTGGTTTGCGAGCATAACTCATTCCGGAAACATGCTTGTAATCCAAAGCACTTGTATGTCAAAGCCGAAGAAATACTGGAAACTCAGATGACTTGTTCCACATCCCAAAAATATTCACATAAAAATCATTACAATACTGTAACAGAACACACAACAATAAAGAAAATACAAAATATAAAGACAAATAAATTAACCTGCACTTACCTTTGAAAACCTTCGTGGCTGGTGTGAGGGAGACAAGAGAGAGGGTTATTGTGTAGGATGACTTTCACTATCACTAATGAAATCACTGCTATCTACTGGCTCAATGGAATCCTTTTCTGCATGGGGGCCATTGTATACACTTGCATGGATGTCAACTATACTACATAATTAATAAACTCTTGTCATATACTGTATTTAATGTAACTGGCAATGCAGCAGAGGAGAGGGTCTCTATCTGCAGGCAACCTGACCTAGAATGAAGCAAAGCATTCCTAAGCTTACTCATGCATGGAAAAGCAAAGGACTGTTGAAGTGACAAAAAATACACTATCGCCAGTTTTGGGTACCTTCCAATGTTCTGAAAAATCACTGATTTCTGCCAAACACAGCATGAGGCCCAGCATCTGAGCAAGGGAGACGATCACCCACCATCCCGCAGAGAGAGAGAGAGAGAGAGAGAGAGAGAGAGAGAGAAAAGAATGATTGGCTCATTTGTGATCATGTGACATTAGGCATCATGTACTACTCAGTCGCAGAACAAGTTACTCACACCACAAGGTTTTACTGTATATGCATTTATTACAAATTTATTTTCAAATCTTATCTCAGAAAGGAGACAAAAAAAAGGTCATTATCCACTTAATTGCAAATTGCATTACATCCAAACTCTTTTACTCTTTTTTTAAGATTTTACTTTTAAGTGATCTCTACACCCAACATGGAGCTCGAACTCACAACCCTAAGACCAAGAGTCACACAGTCCACTAACTGAGCCAGCCAGGTACCCCCATCTTCTTTTACTCTTGAAACAATTTTTAACATCCCAAAATATATTTAAATGTTACTAACCTTGTGTTTTACATAAGTTCAGATTCTAAAAAGACAGGGTAGCTAATGAAGTGTTAAGAGCAAAGTGAAACATCAAAAGATCACTTCAAGTATTTAAATGATGATTCAAATTTAAAGTGACCCGAAAAAAGAAGACCTTATTGTTTATAACTATATCATTGTTTGAATAGGAACACATATACAAAATGGGGCAGCATGAAATACATTTTATAAATGGAAAGTATAAAACAGTTTGCTTGATGAGAGAACAACAAAAGACTAATGAGGGAAGTAAATCCCTTATCCCGTCAAGTTTTTTAGATGCCTGCAGGCCTGCAAACTTCTGGACTGCAAGTACATGGGCCCCTGAGCCAGAATCACCCAGCTAAGCCTTTTCCGAGACCACAGACACAGTGAGATAATACTTGTTAAATGTTTTAAGCCTCTAAGTTTCGGGGTAATTTGTTATACAGTAATAGGTATCTAACACAATACTGTTTCATTCATTCATTCATTCAGAGAGGGCACAAGTGAGCAAAGGGCAGAGAGAGAGAGAAAGAGAGAGAGAGAGAATCCCACAAGGGGCAGAGGCAGGGGGGAAAGAGAGAAAGAGAAGCGGGGCTGGTGTTCACCTGAAGCAGGGCTTAGCTCACCCGAAGTGGGGCAGGAGCTCACCTGGAAGCAGGGCTTGAGCTCATCTGATGTGGGATTCGAACTCCTGAACCCTGAGATCATGACCTGAGCCCAAGTCAGATGCTTAATGACTGAGCCACCCAAGGACCTGTTTCCTTTTTTTAAAAAAGATATAATATGGGAGTGCCTGGGTGGCTCAGTCGGTTGAGTGTCCAACTTTGGCTCAGGTCATGATCTCATGATTCATGAATTCAATACCTGCGTCAGGCTCTGTGCTGACAGCTCAGAGCCTGAAGCCTGCTTCAGCTTTTGTGTCTCCCTCTCTCTCTGCCCCTCCCCCACTCATGCTCTGGCTCTCTCGTGCGCTCTCTCTCAAAAATAAACATTAAAAAAAGTTAAAAGAGTATAATTATGGTCCTAGAAATACAATTCTGACATCTATTCCACTCCAATTATTAGTGCAGATATTTAACATCTCTGGCTTAGATTCTGAGTATGAGAAATAATTTTTTTCTTTTGGAAAAACAAATTTAATGAATGTAGTCCTTTTATTTATTGTCTCTGACTAGGACACCCAAGTGTATCCATTTTTCGTCATACCTTTTTCTACTTCCTACCCCTTCCCTATAAGTAGAATGGACCTCAAAAACTGTAAAATAACGATTTATTCTACATAGTCACTTTTGTTAGGCAGTTCTGTTAAGACTAGTAACTATAATTTTCTCTTAAACCTGTCATGCATAAAACCTAATGTGCACAAGGTATTCGACAAATATGTCAGTATACTAATACAAGGTATAAGCAGGGAAGCAACCCTCAGCCTATGAACTAAACATATTATTTAGGATGACTTCTCATCTCCTAACAACCAGTTACCCAGATGATAAATTTCTCCTTATGACTTGTAGCCACTTTCTACAATGGTAAAACTGCCACACCCCATCCCATTACAGTAAAATGTCATCAACTATGGGGCCTTTAAAGTATACATACATAGTAGTAGGGCGCCTGGGTGGCTCAGTCGGTTAAGCGTCCCACTTGGGCTCAGGTCATGATCTCACCGCTTGTGAGTTCGAGCCCCGCGTCGGGCTCTGTGCTGACAACTCAGAGCCTGGAGCCTGCTTTGGATTTTGTGTCTCCCTCTCTCTCTGCCCCTCCTCTGCTCATGTTGTCTGTCTCTCAAAAATAAACTTTAAAAACATTTTTTTAAAAAGTATACATAGTAGTAATCTTTCCTTAACTCACATAGTCACTTTAATTATACACTATGATGCATTAATAATCTTAGACAAATATTTCTGCCAAAACAAAGAGCTAACAAATTCCCCATGTAAATGTCACCTACTTCCCTCTCTCATCACACAAATATTTATAAAAACCTGAGGTAAATGTAGTCCCAAATTCAACAACTACCTTTAGTATTGTTTTACAAAGAAGTCTTTTTCACTGTTGGTGCTGCAAAAGTTCATATATTTTTTTTTTAATTTTAATTTCTTTAAGTCATCTCTACACCCAAGGTGGGGCTCCAACTCAAACCAGAGATCAAGTAGCAGGCTCCGCCCAGTGTGCCAGCCAGACGCCCCAAATACATATATATTTTTAATGCTACAATACCTAGAGCAGATGCCCAATCTAATGCAGCTAATTTGCAAAGGAAGGAAACACAAATCCTCACTTTCACAGAAACTTTTTATAGCCTGAACATAAAATGTTTAATTCCTACACTATTTGTAACAAAACATACAATTCTGAATCTCAGTATATTTCAAATCTCGGCAAATTCCCAAAGCGTTCTTTCCTAAGGCTGGTGTGATGCAATAATCTTAAAATGCCGATTAAGAAAATGGGGCAGGAAGGCCTGGCGTCAACGTTACCAAACATTCCATGTGCAGGGAAGAGACCGTGTCACACTTTTAACAGTCACGCCTCCAGGGATCCGGAGCGGGCAGGACTGTCGTGCCTGGTAAAGGGGGCAATGGGCAACCCCGGCAAGACCCCCGCCACGCCGCCCTGGGCCAGGGAAACGCCGGGGCACAAAGCCTAGGGGAGGACCCGGTGCTTAGGGAATCTCGAAGGCGCGACGAAGCCTGAGGGAGACGCCGGGGCTTCGCGCAGATCCCGGGACCATCAGACAGTGACGGCCCACGGGTTCAGCACACCCCGCTTGCTCTCGCGTCCCGCGCCCTCGCCGCCCCTGCACGCCCACCCCTTCCAGACTCTGGAGCTTCGGCCTCCCACCTCAGGACGCAGTTTCGCGGCGTCCATTCCGTCCCCTTCCCGCCCAGTCCCTCGCGGAGCTCAGCCGCACCCACCCTCAGCTCTCAGGTTGAAGTCCTTCGCAGCACAAACGGCGGCCCCGCCTCTCTTCCCTCCCCTAGGCCGGCACCATAGAGACGCCGGACGCCGGCCAGAGCGGCCCCAGCACCCGCCAAACGTCCGCCGAGAGGACGCCGGGATACTGGCTCCATGCATAACGGACCGGAACGGATAGCTCTGGGGTCCGCTGGTGGAGGTGGTGCGTTCCTGCAGTTTTCTCCCGCCGTACCACATAAGGAGACCTTTGGGATAGTGGGGGGATAAGTACAAAGTGCCTTGTTGGTTTCCTCTGTCAAACCTGAGCATTCGTTCTTGGCTGTGCCGGCGCCGTGCCCCAGACTTAGCCGATATACCCATAATGCACCCTCCCTGGCGGCCAGAAAGCTAAGAAAGCAGAAGTGGCCTCACCGAATGTCGGAGGCACAGACCATACGCTTAGACGCTTGAGCTAGGAGCCACAGGCCGTCTTGGGTCCCGAAGAGGTAGAGAAATGTCTTTCAAGTTGGGCGTCGGAGAGTTTTTCAGGAGACGGTGACACCACGCGGCTTTGCGGGTCGGCCGCTCCTCCATAGCGCTCCAACGCCCCCTTGGGGAATTCTTGATAATTATACTTCGCCACTTTGTGGGCGGACGGTGGGTGCTACAGTTTATTGTAGCAGCAGTGGCAGGCCTGGCTTAATCGTGACTGCTAAACGCACAGGAGTTGAAAAAACTGCGTAAAATGTAGCTTGACCCTAATTAACCAAACTCACAAGATGCAGCTTTTTAATGGGACTGTGGTCAGGTCCCAGCCTGTCTTTTGCCTGAGTGAGCACCGAGGAGATGTCTAGCTTGGCACTGGCTCTAGGAAGCACTGGCCCAAAAGAATAGGCTCAAAGAGGGGCATTGCTTTCTTCTTCCTACCTACAGTTTCTCAGAACAAGTGTCAGATGGAAAGCAAGGGTAGTAGTGGGATTATATTAATCATAGAGTTGAAAGAGAATTCTGTAGTAGAAAGTGAGATCTTCAATATCAAGCAAACTCCTAGGCCTCTCACAAAACCCTGAAGTGTGACTCAGTTTCTCGGTGATAGAACTTTTCATTGCTTGCCACACTCTTGGTCCTTAGCCAGTGGAAAAGATTCAACTGAGGAAAACGATACACAATTTAACTCACATAGTTTAAAAGCTAATCAAAAAGAACACATTAACCACAATATGGGGTGCTTTTAGTCATGATAAGGACAATTTGTCTCAATTGTAGTAACAATTTCACATTGCCCTTATGGCAGCATTGTACATCTTATACTCCAGGCTTTCTAGAGCTATAGAAGAACAACATGGAAGGCTTCCTGCAACCAAAACAAAGAGAAAGTGTTAGTTCTTTTCTGTGCAGTCAGCCTACAGCCCGAAGGCACTGATTCATTTCTACAATACATACTGAATTCTCTGTGTGCTGAACACCATGCTTAGTAACAGGCTATAGAATGACTTTATGGAGCTCAAGTTCTAGCGAAGGATCTAGACTACAAAGAAACAAAAGTTGTACAACTACAGTATGTGCTATAAAGGAAATAACTAGGATGATGTAATAGAGACTAATGGGGGAGGCCCTTCTGAATAAGTAATAATTGGTGCTGAGATTTAAAGGTGGCAAGGAGCCCAGAGAGAAGCTATCAAGAGAACATTGTGCCCATTCAAGTCACTGACATTATCACTCCTAATCTATGCTCTGCTTCATTTCCTTTTTCTCCTTGTTTCCTATGTTCTTTCTTCCATGTCAAGAAGCTGGTCTTTTCTAGAAATCAGAAGTTAATCAGAATATTTTTGCTATATTTGTCAAATCTTGAAGTCTCTTTAGTGTGTGGTTTTGTTATTTCCCAATTGGCAAGGTTCTAATAAACAGCACTTTTGATGAGGTCATTTTAGTTGCACACACTTGTATAGCATCAGTTTTTTTCAGATGTTCAAAAGAAATTAATAAGCCAATTCAGATAAAATTGGTCTCTGATGAAGTGCTCAATTCTTAGCTTGAAGCAATATTGCCTGTATGATTTAAAGATCTAATTCTCTTTGGGCAGTTCTGTTGAAAAATATTTGGAGACACCAAATAGCAAATGACCAAATGCACAAAATTCTGCATATTTAAAAAGGAAAAAAAAAACAACTTTGAGGATTAATAGTAAATTCTCTGCAAGATAAAACAGTAACAACTATGATTTTATAAATTTTTTTCATAAATATGAAATAATTGTTCAAAATTCTAAAATAGTTCTTTATTAATAAGGTACATTATAAATATATATCTTAAAGTTTACAAGTTAGGTAACCCCCAAAGTTAACTGTCATTTTTTCATATAATCATTGCACAGAAGTAATATATGTAATTTCTTGGCTTACTAGTAATACTAGTCACTTGAAACAACATCCTTAAGGTTTGTGATTCACTTTTTAGAATTTAATAGAAGATAGTCAATATCCTGAAGGATTTCAGAAGTTTTTTTCAATGCCACTGATACTCTCTTTTCATTAACTTCTTCCAGCAAGGTTTCTGAAGGTTTTGGTTCATAATGATCAGATGACTGTTCATTTTCTTTGTTGGAAATCTGGTTTAGGATACCACTATTCTCCAGTAACACTAAGTTGCTTAGTTAAGGAGTTTTTCCCCAAAATTTTCATTATATAAGTACTTTTAATTTCAGAAAGCCTGGTTTTCATATTAAAATATTATTTCTCTGTTAGGAAGGTCTCTTGGATTCATAATAGATTTGGTACTTTAGAACTTATCAAGTCTACCCCTTATTGATAAAGAAACTAGTTAGAGTAGAAAAGAAGAAAGGAAAGAGTAGGTATGTGTGTGTATTTGGATGGAAATTTGGTGATAGGAGATGAAAGAATTAAAATCTCAACATTCCTTTAAGTGAAGAAGTGATATGGGACTAAAAGAACAAAAGAGTGACAGGAATATAAATAATCTATGCATTGTATTTTTTAATTTAAAAAAGATCTAGAATGAAAAGAAACCTGTCCTCTGTTGCAGAGCTACTTTATTATTTGAATAGGATTACAGAAAAATCATTAGATAATTTAAATGAATGAGGTGGGAACTTACAGAACAAAAAGTTTCTTAAGAAAATGAGCCCAGTTATATGTCAACAAATTGGACAACCTAGAAGAAACAGATAAATTCCTAGAAACATACAACCTACCAAGACTGAATCATGAAAGAGAGAATCTGAATAGATCAATCACTAATAAGGAGGTTGAATCAGTAATCCAGAACCTCCAAATAAATAAGAGCCCAGGGCCAGATGGTTTCACTGGTGAATTCCTCCAAGCACTGAAAAAGAATTAATACCAATCCTTCTCAAACTCTTCCAAAAAATAGAAGTGGAGGGAGTATGTCCAAACTCATCTTTAAGTCCAGCATTACCCTGACAACCAAAACCAGACAAGAACACTGGTCAGAAAAAATTATCGGGGTGCCTGGCTGGCTCAGTCAGAAGAGTATATGACTCTTCATCTCAGGGTCACAGATTCAAGCCGCATATTGGGTGAAGAGATTGCTTTTGAATAAATAAATAAATAAATAAATAAATAAATAAATAAATAAATAAATGAAAAAAAATGTTAAAAAAAATTACAGGCCAATATCCCTGATGAATATAAATGCAAAAAAATCCTCAAAAGATTAGCAAATGGAATCAACAATACCTTAAAATGATCATATACCATAATCAACTGAGATTTATTCCAGAAATGCATGGATGTTTCAACATATGAAAATCAGTCAATGTGATACACCACATTAACAAAATGAAGGATAAAAATTACCTGATTATCTCAATAGATGTAGAAAAACTGTCAACAAACTGGGTATAGAAGGAATGTACTTCATGATAATAAAGGTCACATATGACTAGCCCACAGCTAACATCATACTCAATGGTGAAAACCTGAAAGCTTTTCCTCTAAGATCAGGAATAAGACAAGGATGCCCACTCTTGCCAGTGTTATTCAACATAATGTCCTAGCCAGAGCAATTAGGCAAAAAAGAAAAGGAATTCAAGTCAGAAAAAGTAAAACTTTCTATTTGCAGATGATATGACATTATATATAGAAGATCCTAAAGACTCCACCAAAAACTGTTAGAACCAATAAATTCAGTAAAGTTTCATGATGTAAAATCAATGTACAAAAAAATTAATTAAATACACTAATAACAAACTATCAGAAATTAAGAAAACAATCCCATTTATAATTATATCAAAAAGAATAAAATGCCTAGGAATATATTTAAGCAAGAAAGTGAAAGATCTATATACTAAGACATTCATGATGGAAACTGAAGAAGACACAAATAAATGGAAAGCTATTTTGTACTCCTAAATTGGAAGAATTAATATTGTTAAAATGTCCATGCCACCCAAAACAATGTACAAATACAATTCAATCTCTATCAAATTCCAATAGTATTTTTCAAAGAAACATAATAAACAATCCTAAAATTTGCACAGAACCACAAAAGAACCCAGAGAGCCGAATCTTAAGAACAAAGCTGGAGGCATAATGCTTCCTGATCTCAAACTATATTACAAAGTTATAGTAATCAAAACAGTATAGCATGGGGATAAGGATAGACACATAGATCAATGGAACAGAATAGAGAGCCCAGAAATAAACCCACGTAATACACGGTCAATTAATTTACAACCAACGAGCCAAGAATATACAATGGGGGAAAAGATGGTCTCTTCAATAAATGGTGCTGGAAAAACTGGACCCTTATCTTACACCCTACACAAATATCAACTCAAAATGGGCTGAAAACTTGAATATAAGACCTGAAACCATAAAACCCCTAGACAAAACCACGGGGTAAGGTCCTTGACATCAGTCTTGGCAGTGATTTTTTTGGATTTGATAACAAAGCAAAGGCAACAAAAGCAAAAATAAACAAATGGAAGTACATCAAACTTAAAAGCTTCTGCACAGCAAAGGGCACCATCAACAAAATGAAAAGACAATCTATGAAATCAGAGAATGTATTTGCAAATCATATATTTGATAAGAGGTTAATATCCAAAATACATAAAGAGCTCATACAACTAAATAGCAAAAAAAAAAAAAAAAAAAAAAAAAAAACCCTGATAAAAAAATGGGCAGAGAAACTGAATAGATATTTTCAAAGACATACAAATGGTCAATAGGTATATGGAAAAGTGCTCAACATCACAAATCATCAGGGAAATGCAAATCAAAACCACAATGAGGTCTCACCTCATATGTATTTGAATGGCTATCATCAAAAAGACAATAGTTAACAAGTGCTGGTAAGGATGTGGAGAAAAGAGAACCCTTGTGTACCTTGGTGTCAATGTAAATTGGTGTAGACACTATGGAAAACAGTATGGAAGCTCCTCAAAAAATTAAAAAAAGAACTATCATACCATTCAGCAATTCAAATTCTGCAGATATATCCAAAGGAAATGACATCAGGATCTCAAAGAGATATCTGCATTCCCATGTTCATTGCAGCATTATTCACAATAGCCAAGATATGGAAACAAACCAAGTGTCCAGTAACAAATGAACGGATAAAGAAGATACGGTATAGGGGCACCTGGGCGGCTCAGTCGGTTAAGCGTCCGACTTCAGCTCAGGTCATGATCTCACTACTTGGGAGTTCAAGCCCCGTATTGGGCTCTGTGCTGACAGCTCAGAGCTTGGAGTCTGCTTCAGATTTTGTCTCCGTCTCCCTGCCCCTTCCCTGTTCACGTGTCTCTCTCTCTCCTTTCTCTAATATAAAATAAAAAATTAAAAAAAAAGAGAGAGATGGTATATGTATACAATGGAATACTACTCAGCCATGAGAAATAAGGAAATCCTGCCATTTAAAACACAGAAGGATTCTGAGGGTATTATGCTAAATGAAATAAGCCAGACAGAAACACAAATACTGCAGTGTCATTTATATGTGGAATTTTTTAAAAAAGTCAAACTGATAGAAACAGTAAAAATGGTTTCCAGGGGGTGGGGGTGGATAAAATAGAGATTGGTAAAAGAAGACAAACTTCCAGCTCTAAATTGTATAAGGTCTGAGGATCTAATGTATAACATGGTGACTATAGTAGATAACCTTGTGTTGTATGGTTGAGGTTTGCTAGAAGAATGGAACTCAGAGGTTCTTACCAAAAAAAGGGTGGGGAGAGGAAGGAATAGATATAGGGCATATAGATATAGATATGTGAGGTGACATGGGTGTTCATTATTAACAAGACAGGGTAATCCTTTCACAATATGTGTGTGTCAAGTCACCACAACGTACACCTTAAATCTCTTACAATTTTGTCAGTTATACCTCAATAAAGCAGAAATTAAAAATAAAAGAATTTTTAATAATAAATATCCTAAGAAAAAAGAAAGGAAAAGTCAGACATAGGTCTGTTATAATTTAGAATAGAATTATATAAGTGAAAAAGTCTCCATAGGAGACCTTAACCCTAGTTCACTGTCCCCTGCCCTATTTAAACTCACTCAAAAGTATAAATGTTGACATGATATACCTTCTATAGACAAGATATATCTTTGTTTTTTAAGTTTATTTATTTATTTTGAGAGACAGAGGGTGAGCAGGGGAGGGGCAGAGAGAAAGAGAAAGAGAGAAAGAGAGACAGAGAGAGAGAGAGAATCTCAAGCAGGCTCTGTAGGGTCAGCACACGTGGGGCTTGAACTCATGAAACTGTGAGATCATAACCTGAGCTGAAAATAGTTGAATGCTTAACCAACTGAGCCACCCTGGTGCCCCTAGACAAGATATATCTTAAATTACCATCTTAAATGTTATTCAGTAAAGCTCTAGAATATATAAGTATGGATTAATATAAAGTACAGAATCATGAATTAAGTAAGCCTAGAACCTAAAGGGAGTAATTATACAGGACAGTACATTCTGTTTAAAGGATACAGTTAAACTTCTTTATCTTTTCAAGTTCAGAGGCCACAGACCTGTGCAAAAAGAAAAAAAAAATAAGTTAATGATAGTTATCTGATTCTTTTATATCCACAATATTTCAAGTAAGCATACTTGATTTTTTTTTTTCATAAAGTTTTGAATTTTAGAAAGAAGTGCCCAGAAGTTAAGAATTCTCTTTATTTGGGTGCCTGTCTGGTTCACCAGTAGAGCATATGAATTCTCTCTATATTTGCTTTATTTAGTAACAAATCAACTTGATTCAACTGATAGCTATTGAGTACTTTTAAATTAAAAAAATTTTTTTGAATGTTTATTTTTGAGAGAGAGAGAGAGACAGAGACAGAGACAGAGACAGAGACAGAGCATGAGTGGGGGAGGGGCAGAGAGAGAGGAAGACACAGAATCCAAAGCAGGCTCCAGGCTCCAAGCCGTCAGCACAGAGCCTGATGCAGGGCATGAACTCACAAGCCATGAGATCATGACCTGAGCCCAAGTCGTACACTCAATTGACTGAGCCACCCAGGCTCCCTGCTATTGAGTGCTTTTAATGAATAATGTAAGTGAATAGAAGTCCTCACCTCAAGGACTTTTGAATCAGGTATTGATGTTTGAAGGTAACTGGCATTCCTGCTACAACTTAAAAACAAATTTTTTTTTTTGATGTTTTATTTATTTTTGAGAGAGAGAGACAGAGTACGAGTGGGGGAGGGGCAGAGAAAGAGGGAGACATAGAGTCTGAAGCAGGCTCCAGCTCTGAGCTGTCAGCACAGAACCCGACACGGGGCTCGAACTTGTGAAATAAGAGATCATGACCTGAGCTGAAGTCGAATGCTTAACCAACTGAGCCACCCAGGCGCCCCAACTTTTTTTTTATATAACTATTTTTTCTATTTATTTGAAGTTTTTTTATATAACTATTTTTTCTATTTGAAGTACAATAAAAAATAATGCTACACTCTGGAAATTCAGTGGCACAGGTACATGGCCATAACTTGAGAGACATTATAAAGTTAAAAAAAAAAAAAAGAAGGAAATAAAAAGAAAAAAAATTCTCATATGAAACTGTACTATTACATACTTTTATCTGCCCAAACAGATAATTTGCAAATATTAGGTCAATAAACTGTATAACATCCATAAAAAGGTAGCTTCTTACTGAAATGCAAGAATTTAAAAGATTGGTAACTGAGGGGTGCCTGGGTGGCTCAGTCGGTTAGGCTAGGTCATGATCTCATAATTCATGAGTTCAAGCCCCCACATCGGGCTCCATGCTGACAGCTCAGAGCCTGGAGCCTGCCTCAATTTTGCGTCTCCCTCCCTCTCTGCCCCTTCCCCCATGCTCGCTTGCTCTCTCTCTCAAAAAAAACATTAAAAAAAATTTTTTTTAAAGATTGATATCTAAACAAGAAAAGACAAACAGAAACTGGAATGAAAATCTAGATATCACATCTAAAATCGGGGCTTTCTGTTGGAGACTTCCTACTCTTCTCTCCCTCTGCCATATCCTGCTGGAGTTCCAGGCCCCACTCCTCTGTCCACCTATCTACCCACAGATCCCGCCTGCTACAACTTTTTTAATACTCACCTGGTATACCCTCTTCTTTCCTCCTCCAAGTTTAGTCAAAGTTAAAAACCTACTAAAATCCTATCACTTCTCTGAAAGAAGTGTTCTCTCCTTCCTTGAATTTCTATAGCACTGTTAACTAATCATATACTCATTGTAATCTCTTGAACTCTTTAACCTTCTGATTTTCATACCTAGATTGTCTTTTTCAGGAGAAAGGATTTTTTTCTTTTTCTTCTGTACTTTGCACATATAAGTAAGGCCTCATTTATATGAAACCCTTCAGAAACAGATGGTTTTGGGGGGCCAAGTTTTTACAGTTGAATTAGGTGTCAAAATATAAGTATTTTCTATTAAGTTTCTTCTGGAATAGACTACTTACTCATTTCATTGTTTTCTTAAACACAGTATATTACATATTCTCTTCTCCTTGAATAGAAGGGTTAACATTATGAACATTAACTCTTACCATGTTCCACAGAAACAGACACTGGGACAAATGGTAATGGGTAGAGGGCAGAATCTCTGACGTGTGTATCCTTTCTCTTTTTCCTCATTAAGCTAGAATGAAATGTGAGCAGTGGCACACAACTAGAAAATAGTGTCACTTAACTAGCTCACTGTAAAATTAATGAAGACTTTAATATCTAAAACATCTCTCTATTCAAGTCACTAGAAAAGTCTTCACAGTTCATGGAACTTGTCTGCTTTACTGGCCTTACTACAGTGGAATGTATTCACCTCCTTGTCAATTTGTACTCTTTCGCTGAAGGATGAAAGAGATCTTTCAACATTTTAAGCATCTGTGGTAAAGACTTCCATATGACTTATTCCAAGGCCTGCTGATTATTCATCACTGAAAAACATCTTTTTTTTCCACATATGACATTTTTCTGGCTGTAAGCAACAATACAAACTACCTTTAGTACTGTTGCTCATATGATGACCCAACTTCTTATGAACTCTCTTCTGTACTATTTTTGACTAGCATCCCTATTAAGAAGTTGAATCAGTAAAAAAATAATAGAAGGTGAGCTGGAAAAAAAATACTGAAATACAATTTAGGTAGCTATCGATTGTGCAGTCATTTCTCTTCCTTCAACCCTTCTCTGACAAGAAAACAAATCAGAGTGGAGATGTGTTAGGCTTTGCAAGGGAAATGGAGCTACTGTAAGCAACTGCGACTGGACTGCGTCTCCTCTCCCTACTCTTCCTCAACTCCTTTGTCTTTCTGCTGCTCCTTTTTGCTTCCACCCGTGGCTGCTCTCACCAATATGCACTTCTCTCATGCCCTCACTTTTTACTTGTCTTTACAGTTATCCTCTTCAAAGTCTTCATGTAAAAAGGCTAGCATCTTACAAACTTTGTCAGCTGAGCAATGAAGTGACCAATTTTATCATCATACATAATTTCCTTTTCATCCCAACTATGTTTTTTGCTAGCTACTCGGGCAATTTTTCTGCTCCCAAACAGACTGTAGCTGAAGAATGGAGGATCTGGAAAGCTGAACCCTTAGGATACCTAACATATTCAAATAACATCTACTGATTTGATTTCGACCTCTTTCTCTAAGTCACTTAGGAAAAGGTGTTGAGAATTAGGCTTAATGTTTGTATTTTTTCACCATGCTACGCTAAGACACTTACAAACCACTTTAAAGCTTCCTAAATTGTTCCTGGTATCCCTCTTTTCCAATACAGGTTTCTTCCACTATCCAATGGTAGAGTGTTCTATGAAAACTTTCATAAACTTAAATGGCACAAAGTGAAAAAACAATTGCCATTCATTTTTATGGAAAATGTTTTGATCATTCCCACACCCAAAACATAACCTCTCTTAACGCTTTTTCTGACACCTAAGGATCCATCTTGCTAATGGATGCACAAAATAAACTGGGATAAAGCACAAAGGCTCACAGACACAGTTCAAAGCTATGGCAGACTGAAGCTGAGATGCTGAGTGTAGTTCTCAGGTAAGGAGCTCAGAGCTACCATGCTCCCTGCTGGGGGTGCAAGCTGCCTCCGTGTAAGAGCTCGCTGCTAAACAAATGCAGAATGCTATTTTCACTTTTTGCCTTTTTCCTTGAAAGCGAAAATACTTCTCGAATTTTTTTGGTTAGCAAAGACAGGAACATACTCCCAAGTACTAACCAGGCCCAACACTGCTTAGCTTTCGAGGTCAGACAAGATCAGGCACATCCAGGGTGGTATGGCTGTAGAAAAATGGGGACATGCTGATGTAGGTCTTTCATGTAAGTGAAGTGGCATAGTGCAAACTTCCAAAAAGTAGGGGATGCCTGTATATTCAGAGTATGCTCTCAGTGATACTAACCTTCCTAAGGGCCTTTCTTCCTGTCATTTTTTCCACCTAGGAACTCATAATTCCATCAAGTGTGAGCTTTTCTATTGATCACAAGATCTATTCTTATTCTTCAAAACCCATAATACACCCTAACAGATAGCATCTGTTCCATAAAAACATTTTTTCACTGTCTCCACAGGACAAAATATACTTTTTACCTCTACCCTTGCTCCTTCCCTAAAATATCTTATTCATTTCCCTAAATATTCCTTTGAAGCCCAGTTCTAGTCCCCTTGCACACTGAAGGGCACGTAGGATGGACTAAAATACTTTATTTGTTGATTTGCCGGTTGATTTGGGGGAGGTAATTAATATGATAAAAATGATTTCAAAATCAATTTTTTCTGAAAGTTAGTCAACATTTTACTTCTTTTAATATTACTAAAATTTTAAAAATTCTCCTTTAAATTTTTCCATAAAGTTTTCGGGATGAATTTATCATATAAAAAGAATCGCCCATTTTGGTAAGAAGTTTTCAATGCAGTTTTCTGAACTTCAGATAAAATAAAATACGATGTAAAGTAATAAATTGGATATCTGATTAAAGATAAATTATTTTCAAGCTTAAGCTATCAGAAAAGAGTCTCAGAGCTTACCATTTGATATTTTTAATTTTTGTGACTCTTTTACACAGATAAAGTTTAAAAGAAATATAAATACCAATTTTCTTCAAGAATAGAAGATGAAGAATGTGTGGGCATCTCTCTCTGATTAGTCTGGGTCAGGCTTCTGCACCATGATACGACTGCTGTCACATATCTAGATTGAAAACATTAAAATAAATATTTGAAAAATGAAGTTGTATAGTATTTTTAAAAACATTTTTTTAAAAGGAAAAATCATTAAGACAATTTGGGGAAAAATGATAAAGAAAAAAATTCCAAAGTGAGGCATTTACTGGTAAATTTTTTTAGTCTTTTTCAAAGCAAATGGAAAAGTTAAGTTTTTTTCATTATTCATCAAGAATAAAATGATTTACTCATATTCATGATTAGTAAAGATATTTCTATAAGTTCTTTTTTAAAATTTATTTTTGAGAGAGAGAGAGAGAGAGAGAGAGAGAGAGAGAGAGAACATGAGTAGGGACGGGGCAGAGAGAGAGAGAGAAAGAGAAATAATCCCAAGTAGGCTTTGCACTGTCAGCACAGAGCCCAACACAGGGCTCGATCTCACCAACCATGAGATCATGACCTGAGCTGAAATCAAGAGCCGGATGCTTAACAGCCTGAGCCACCCAGGTGCCCCAATAAAGACAGGCTTTAAAATCAGAACAAAGTGATACTTGGATTTCATTCAAAATTCAAATTCAAATGTCTAAATTCTCCAAAGTGAAATAAATTTCATTATGTTTTATAATGAAAATGTCTTTACACATTAAGACTAAGTGAGCATTTGCTTTCTAAAATTTAAACCAGAACACAGCCATTAATTCCCACACATATACACAAATGTATAATTATATATAATTCATTCAATATACAAAACAAGTATCAAGTTCAATAAAACAAATGATCTCAAGTGATGGCCTGAAACAAATAGTAATGTTTGTCAAAGACACTGCATTTTTTCTTATGTATGTATGTATGTATGTATGTATGTATGTATGTATGTATGTTGTGAGAGAGAGAGAAAGAATATGAGTGGGGAAAGGGCAGAGAGAGACAGGGAGAGAAAGGACCCCAAGCAGGCTCCATGCCATCAGTGCACAGCCCGATGCAGGGCTCAATCTCACAAACTGTGAGATCAGGCATGACCTGAACTGAGATCAAGAGTCAGCCCCTTACCTGACTGAGCCACCCAGATGCTCTGTATTTTTGAGGCAAATTATTCAAACTAGCAATGAATGTTGGAGCATTTACACCAAAATGCAATAAATCCCAACAGGAAAATAAATTCATGAGGTAAAAAAGCAATTCTTTCATGAACATTCTCAAATAAAATCACTAACATGCTGAGAACATCACAAGTAGACTGATTACAACAAATTACATAAAACCAAAAGAGAAAAAGCATGTTCATAAAAATGGATTTTAAGAATCTTCTCCATCTTAAGAAAAAGCATCACTGAATTAATTTTATTCCACGTCACAGAAATATACATAACTTTAGTTATTTGTGCAAACCTTATTTCAAAAGGTTAGGGGATTAATTAATCGGTTAACACAGCTGACCACAGTCCAACTTCCACAGCAAGACAAGTGTATCGAAAATACTCATTTTGAAAAACCACTTGAATACAAATGGAAATGATTACAAATGATATGATTTATTTAGTTATGCAAGATGCCAATACTTCTGTAAACTCTGAAATCTGCTGAAATGATACATGGCACAATATCTACCTGAAAAAACTAAAAATATAACATTTAAATAGGTTTATATGCTTCCCCTCTGTCAGAAAACTGTTTACCATCATAAAAATAGTTTTTAAAACTGCTTTTCAGTACCTTTCATATGGTCCAGGGTGTCCAATATGAATTAACTGATCTTGCCCATCAGGAAAAGTTAACTTACACCAAGCTAAGTTGAGACCTTGATTTACCTTAAGCAGAAAAGAGGGAAAAACAAGTTTTATTGTTCTAAAACTGAGACAAAACTCACAACAAAAGCCTCTTTTACATTATCAATTTAAAAAATATGTAGATGAATCATTAAAACTTTATTTTGACTAATTTAAAGATTATATTTTACATGGATTATGGGTATTGTTTAACCACCACTCTGGTCCTTCTCTATATAATCAGTTGCCTTTATAAAAATGATTATTTGTCACACCTTTCTGATTTTTGCTAGGAAATCCAATGAGATCACTAAAGCGTCTTGACAGATTTTACATCTCAAAAAATAAAATTGAGATAGTGTGGTACTTGATTTTCTTTGTTCTATTTCCACTGATAGAAACGATAAAAAAGTAGATTTCAGTATGAAATATAATCACCTGTCTCTTTTCAGTAAAAGAGCTGAAATTCCAATTTAGGGTTAGAGTAATGCCATTTAAAAAGAGAGCATGTACTTTGTCATCAGAGTATGCAAGAAATCTTCCCACGCTGGGTATGAGCGATTCTCTCAAAAGTAAAGGCAGTATATTGCTATCATTTATCCTAGGTACCTAAAACCAAGTAAATAAAAACAGCAGGAAAGAGAGTTATCCATTGATAAGACTTAAATGATTAATAAACTCTGAGGCAACTTTATTCAGAAGTTGAATATTGTAGAATCCTTATATATGTCTTAACTTTTCCAGAAGTGGATAGCCAAATTAGTCTATTACAAGCAGATTAAGTTCTAGTCTTTGAAAAGTCCATGTTCTGAATTTTAGAACACAGACAAAACTTAGGAAGTACAGCAACATATAGGTTTATAATTAAATTAGTACAGATACAGAATTCAAAGTTTGAGAATCACTTCCTTGAAGTCCACGTTAAAGAAATTACTTTTACAGTTATAGAAATAGAGTAGAATACTGTACTATCATAGTTTATAATAACCACATTTTGACATACTTCAAATCTTATCAATTTCCCTGCCTTTCCCCCTCCACTGAGAAAAAGGAAACAAAACAAATTATAGGCAAAGTATAACATAAGAGCCAGATTTTGCAGTGTTTATCTAGTAAGTGGATATTTTTCTGAATAAACCAATATTAATGTTACAAAGAATTTCTCACATGACTTCAATGAAAGTAACTTGAACTTAGAGGTATGTATGTAAACAATAAAACTATTTTAAAAATCTTGCTTTTAAAATAATTTTAATAGGGATGCTTGGGTGGCTCAGTCAGTTAAGTATCCGTCTTCAGCTCAGGTCATGATCTTGCAGTTTGTGAGTTCAAGCCCCACATTGGGCTCTGTGCTGACAGCTCAGAGCCTGGAGCCTGCTTCGGATTGTGTCTCCCTCTCTCTCTCCCTGCCCCTCTACCACTCACGATCTGTCTCTCTCAAAAATAAACATTAAAAAAAATTAAAAAGAAAAAGGGGGGGGCGGGGATTCCTGAGTAGCTCAGCTGTTGAGCATCTGACTCTTGATTGCAGCTCAGGTCATGGTCTCAAGGACATGAGACTTAGCCTGGCACTGGGCTCCTGTGGTGGGTGTAGAACCTATCTGAGATTCTGTCTCCCTCTCCCTATGCCTCTCTCCCACTCACATGAGTGCTCTCTCTCTCAAAAATAAATAATAAACAAACAAACAAACAAATACATAAATAAATAAAAATAATTTTGGAGCACCTGGGTGGCTCAGTCAGGTAAATGTCCGACTTCAGCTCAGGTCGTGATCTCGCGGTTTGTGAGTTCGAGCCCTGCATAGGGCTTTCTGCTATCAGTGCAGATCCCACTTTGGACCTTCTGTCTCCTCTCTCTCTGCCCCTCCCCCGTGTGCATTTGCGTATGTACACTCTCTCTCTCTCTCTCTCAAAAATAATAAATAAATAAATAATAATAATTTTAAGATACCATTTTCCAGCAGCATATACGATAGTTATGGCTTAAAGAAAGCCTTGTCTTCGCACAGTGCTGAAGAATTCTGTGAACATGAAAAATATTGCTTAAACATTTGCAAATAATCACACTTTCCAATTCTAGCAATGCATTCTTACTGCTATACAACATGTTAGGCAAGTAATTCATTTCCACTAAAATACATTTGGAACTCCTTTCTTCCAGAAGTCTTTAATCCCCTAGAAGGTGATTGCTTCCCTTTGTGTTAATCTTACATAGGTTACTCCTCTCATTTTTAGTAATGAAATGACTCCAAATGGAGACAATTTTCAGGTGCTCCTTTCTAGGAGGTGATGGTTTCACAGCACCTGAAAGGTTTAGTGTAGTCTAAGAGTGCTGGGGAGGTGAATCAACTATCCATAAAAAATCAAATTACCAATTCTGTTCCTTCAAATCTACTTTGGAAGTTGCTTAGACATAAGTTTGCAAAAATTAATAATTTAATTCAGGAATACACTTTCATGCTTCTGACTGCCACAGATTAATTAGAATTTAAAAAAAAAATATGAACTGAAGAACTGAACTGCACTTCATCTTCTGTATACTCTCAGAATCTTTATTACTCTGAGGATAATAAAGTATATGAAAATTTTAAATGTATCATCAAATCCTTAACTTGATTCCAAGACACCATAAGGATGCATTCACCCAGAGAAAAGGCACTTACTTCCTAACTGTGCATGCTTGCTATATATGGATGCTTCTCCACATTTAACTTTAAATTTCAAAGCCAGAAGTACTCTTACAATGATGTGATTACCTTATTTTGTGGATGAAGAGACCAGAAAAGCTGACAGACTTTACCAAAGACACATATTTCCACTGTACCTACCATTTCTTACTCTTACCCTAACCACTAGAAAATGTATCAGGGTTCTCAGACACAACACTTCAGTCAGGTGAATGTGAAAAACTTACCTGGTTGCCTGTTTAATTAGAGAACACACAGAGAACAGACTTCCTGGTCTATCAGGAGGAAGGTTATTTACTGAATAAGTTTTCTCTTCTTTCTGAAAATTAATTTAAAATATCTCAATAATAAATGTTGGCCATTATTATTTTTTCTTGAAATATGTATTTACATTGTGACAAGGCAAGCAGTTATTTTAACTTAACCAAAAGCCCATAATATTTTTAAAGGTATTTTATGCTTTTCCATTGTCCCATTTTTTTTTAAGTCTAGAATTCCTTATGGATAGTTACAAAAGTTATATTCTAATACCCTATAACATACTGTCCAATTTAAGTTTTGGCTATATTTAAATTAATATAGCAACAGAACTAATTTTCCTACACATTAGCAGAAAACTTATAAGCCCCCTTTCCCCTTTAGATCAAAACAAAAACAGGGGCGTCTAGGTGGCTCAGTAGGTTAAGTGTCCAACTCTTGATTTTAGCTCAGGTCATGATCTCACATTTCATGAATTTGAGCCCCATGTTAAGCTCTGTGCTGATAGTGCAAAGCCTGGTTGGGATTCTCTCGCCCTCTCTCTATCTCTCTGCCCCTTCCCTGCTCTCGCTCTCTCAAAATAAATAAACTTTAAAAAACAAAAACACAATTTTAATTGAACAAATATACAATTTTGCCATATTTTATTAATGGAAGAACTATCACTACAGTTTATAGAAGACAACATTATTTACAAGCTCAGCTTTCTGAATTAAAAAAAAATTTTTTGTTATTCCTTTTGAGTATCCTTTCTCAGACTTTTTTTTTAAGCCTTTAAGGCTTGAGGGCTTGTACAAATCTAATTTGAACCACAAGAGAACATAGTCCCCATATATACTTTACCATCAGTGAGAGAAGACAGGCTTTGAAGACAAAGCTGGATTCAAATCACAGGTGCCTCTTACTAACTATAATGACGGACAGGTTTATGCAACTTTTTGTAAACCTCAGTGCCTATAACCTGTCAAATGGGGATACTACCTACCATCTAGATTGTTTTGAGCATTAATGATGTAATACATATATAAAGCACCCAGGCCAGAATTCAGTACAGAGTAGTTACCCAAAAAATAGTCCCTCCTCTTTTATCCTGGACTATAGACTTGAATATCTAAATCTCTATGAGGCTTCTCCACTGAATATCACAAAGACATCTCAACTTCAACGTGTCAAAAATGGAACTACCTTCATTTCAAAATCTGCATTTTCTCCTTCTCTACTTCAGATCTACCTGTGGTGTGTTCTCTCTACCTGGATCTCAGCTCTCTCCTCCATCATCTTCCTTTGTCTAACTCCTGCGTTTCTTTGCTCTCAGGAAGCCATTACCCAGAATAGGTGAAATCCCCTACTTACGTCCACAAGCACCGCACCCACCACTCTTGCTTTTTGGTTTTCATCATAATTTCAATTTCATAGTTTTTTTTATTAAGTGTCTGTCTTCCCTGCTAGAATGGGGCTTCATGAAGGTAGGGGCTGTATCTGTTCTTCTGACCTCTGTCTGAATCCCTAGCATTTGTTAGCAATGTGCCTTAGTACATGATAGGCACTCAAACTAATGCATTTTAACTATTTACATCTTTCTTCATTGGATACTGAGTTCCTTGAGAGTTCTTGTCTTTTCCACTACCCTATTTCAATTCTAAGATACTCAGTTTTCCTAATTTAGCCTCTCTGAAATCTGGATGCATCTTAAGAGTATCTTACTTTCAGGTAGGTGAGTTTGAGATATAAGAGAATTTAAATGTTTTATTGACACCTCCTGGTAAGATCAAAAGCAACCGTCATCAAAACAATTTAGATTTGATAAAATTTTGGTTTAACACAGAGCCTGGCACCACCACTCATTGATTTATTCAACAATTTGCCATCATTTTCAACTCCTTCCTCATCCCCAATATCCAGTCAGTCATCAGTTCTGTTTCCTTAATATTCGTGTCCATTCCTAGCTTTTCATTCTCATTTCCACTGCCTGGTTCCTCATACTTTCTTCCCTGAACTGCTATCAATGTCCTCTAACTGGTCTACTATCTCTTTCCCACTCCAGTTTATCTTCCTCTGAAATGACCTAACAAAAATATGATGTCACTTCTGTATTTTAATCCTTCAGCACTTGTGCAAAAGCAGTATGGTTTCTCATGCCCCATTTATGAGCTGGCTCAACTTAGTGGCTTAGTCTCTTCCCTGGAAATTCCCCTCAATACTCTCTTTACAGCATTCTCTATCTATAGCATTTTCTTTTCCTTCAACACTCCATCCTTGCCCCAGGCTCTAGCCTCCAGTTAGGTGAGTTTATCTACCTGTTCTATGCTCTAGCAATAATACTGCGTTGAACAAGACAGTGCTTACTTCTAGAGTGGGTTAGCAAACAAACATTGATCAGTAAGAAAATGTCACATAGCACTAATTGCTATGAAGAAGAAAAGAGGAGGGTATCATGATAGTGTCAAAGGTAGCTCCTTTAATTTGGATAGTTGGGAGATGACATGTATTTATTTATTTTTAATGTTTTTATTTATTTTTGAAGGAGAGCGAGACAGAGCATGAGCAGGGGAGGAGCAGAGAGAGAGGGAGACGTAAAATTTGAAGCAGGCTCCAGGCTCTAAGCTGTCAGCACAGAGCCCGATGCAGGGCTCGAACTCACGAACTGTGAGATCATAACCTGAGCCAAAGTCGGACTCTTAACTGACTGAGCCACCCAGGTGCCCCAGATGACATTTAAATAGAAATTTTAATGATAGGAAGCCAAACATGCAAAGAGTTGGACAAGTAGTTCCCTCAGTTATATATTCCTCCAACCTTCATCGCTCTTTTGTATAACTCCTTTAAAAGTATAGGTCCTAGGGACACCTGACTGGCTTAGTCGATACAGCATCCGGCTCTTGATCTCAGGGTTGTGAGTCTGAAACCCACACAGGATGTAGATATTACTTAAAAAGGAAAGGAAAAGAAAATCTCCTAGATCAGCCATGTCTTCCTGCAGTTAACTTTTCTCCAAAATTGGGTCAGGTGCCCCTCCCCTTATGTGGTCCCAAAGCACCACATTCTTATCTCTATGAGAGCACTTACATCATGAGCCCTTGACAATCTTTCCTACTTAGAATTTTAATTATGCAAGTAACAGTACATTACTATTTTATGTTTTTGGAAAAAAAGAAAGTTAGGAAAATACAACATTTAAGTCCCTCCCTACTTTTCCTCCCTCACAAAATCCCACACTCCCTGCTTCTCCCGCCCAAAAGTAACTGCTTCAGTTTGGTTTTTACCTGCCCAAATCTTTCCCTGTGCATTTACATGTGTATTATACACAGTAACATATTTGGGTTTGGGGTTTGTTTTTGTTTTTTACACAGAAGATATTGTTGTACATGTTCTTCTGCAACTTTCTTTTTTCACAGTGCCTTGAAGATCTTTCCATCCCTCTATGCATCTATGTCTTCCTCATTCTTTTAAGCCACCACACAAGCACCCTGTAATCTGACCATCTCTCATTTCACCATCTCTCTACTGAGGAACATTTAGATTGGTTCTAGTGTTTCGCTCCTACAAACAATGCCACATTCCATATCCTTGGGTGTATTTCTTTGTATATATATGTGTTAATATTCTTCTATGATAGATACCTAGAGGCAGAATTTCTAGCCAATTTAACTTGATATTATCAAACTGTCCTTCACGAAGGCTAAATCAATTTACACTCCAACCCAGTACTACGAAAGCACCCTTTTCCCCGCACCCTTGCCAGCAATAGATATTAACAACCTTTCGATAATTTGATGAGTGAAAAATGTTATGTTGTTGTTATTTTAATTTTCATTTCTTTGATGCAAGCAGTAAAGTTGGACAGGTTTTCAAATATTATAAGTTATTTATATTGCCTTTTCTAATGGCTTAACCATTCTTATTGTTTATTCATTTTTCTATGAGAGGTTTTTATTTTTTTTTGGTTTTTTATTACTGATTTATAGTACAGAATAGTTTTTTCCAGACCTTTGACTTTTTGGCTTTATCTAATTTAACAAAAATTAAATATTTAAAATTTAACGTAAGTTTACCAAGGTTACCAAACTTTTATTTTGTGCCTTCTGGTGTTTTGTACTGTATTTAAGAAGACCTCCCCTCCCCCAAGATTATAAACATTGTTCTTCTAGATTTTCTTCTAACAATGATAAACTTTGGTTTCTTACATTTAGCCCTTTAACCCATCTGGAATTTATTTTTAGAGCATGGGTTAAAGTAAGAAGCAAATAATTCTATCCTGAAAAGACAGCCAATTGTTTCTAAATCTCTTACTCAAGTGGACAGAGGTCTGAGAGTGAAGCCCTCAGCAGTCTACCACAAAGGCACAGGTCATCTGGAAGTCCTGTTTTATCCCAAAGCTCATGTTCTCCTCCATGATATGTTTGCTTCGGTATGAAAATTATCATCCCTCCCCCTGACACCTCTGAGTAAAACTGAGGCTCCAGGAAGATGTACAGTATTTATCCTGTACTTTTTCAAACTCTCAGTACACAGCAGTCAGCAGTGTAACTGCACACACCCCTCTATTTGCCTGTTTACTTGATGATCTCATGTACTACACACACACACACACACACACACACACACACACGCACACGCACACACAGCAGTGGTCATGCTTTCATTTCATGTGCTTCTTGGCCTGTCTGACTGACTACTAAACTTTGAACCCTTGAGGGAAGGAGTTCTTTGTCTTCACCCAGTGCTTGACAGAGTGCCTGCCTAGGAAGGTTCAGTTAAGATGTATTGATTGAATAAATGAATACTTTCTTGCAAATGGACCCAGTGGAGAATCTGCATACATGTATGTATGTATGTGTGTGTGTGTGTGTGTGTGTGTGTGTGTGTACACACACACACACACACACACACATACATACCCCCCCCCACACACATATATATAAAATGAATGAAATATTCATTCTAAAATTTTAATGAATGCAGATATTTGGGATTTACTTAAAAATAAATAGGGAGTGGAGGGAGCAGTGGGAAGTACAGATGGAACAAGTGATAAACAATTTATCACTCAAAATTCCACACTGTAATATAAAAAGAAAACATATATATTATGTTCCATTCTGCAAAGCAAAGCCATGTGATACCATGGTGATCCATACATAAGGGTGGATGTCAAATGTCAGATTGGGAACAAGCAAATTTAGACTATTGACAATATATCCATATGATTACATTTCGGCCTGATATATTAAATATATCGTTATATTTCACTATTTCAACAACAGAGAACAACCTTGCTCAACTTTCTACTTGTATATAAAGATTCAGGAGTTAAGAGGTATTTTAAACATGCAAATAATTACATGGTGGGGAAAAAAGAATGTGCTTTTAATGTGCATATATTAATTCAAAGATATGCTACTAGTTTTAGTATTGATGAATTCTGTGACATAAGAAATTTAAATTTAACTTCTGATTTAAACACAAATTGGGACACCTGGCTGGATCAGTCAGTACAGTGTGCAACTCTTGATCTCGGGGTTGTAAGTGCAAGCCCCACCTTGGGTGTAGATATTACTTAAAAATAAAATCTTAAAAAAAATAATAAATGGAAATTACTTAGGCAAATGACTGGCAGAATACAGGAGGAGAATGCAATAAACATAAGGTGGTTAGTAATCACTGTGCCACAGCTGGCAGTAACGTTGTATTAACTCTCCAGACTGCATAGTAGTAGGCAAGCAGTATTATATAAAGATCAAATGTCCTATGTATGTTCAGAATTATTTAGAAAGAGCTATATACAAAAGCCTTCTTGAGCTGAAAACTCATTGTCAGCTTACCTCTTCTGATCCTTCCTGAATGGAATAATAAGTAAAATAGCTCCCAAAATAAGCTCCCTCAGATTTGAAAACAGAGCCATCTCCAGGATAAATCTCTATTGAGTTCACATTTTTATGGGTAAGTCTAAGGAAGAAAAGTAATCATTAAATTTTTTTTTCTAATTAAGATTAAAACATAAATGAGAGCAATCAAAAAAGAAAAAATAATAAAGCAAAGTACTATATGGAATTCTGCCTATCCAGCAAAACAAGATAATTTCATACTTTGCACCCAACTGGCTAAATTAATTTTTTTGCAAAAAATGAACAGAACACACAGAATCAGTTAATGTATCTATTTCAACAGGTAAGCCTAGTTTCTGGAGCTCAGGCATCTTACCATCCTGGTGTCCCTTCTGCCAATCATAGTAGCTGGCATATACTAGTCACCAAAGAAATGCCCATTGCAAAGGAGTTAAATATGACAACACCAGAGCCTGAAAATAAGATAATTCTTTAATAATCAAACTAGTAGAATCTATACCTGATGAATGAGATTAGCCATGTGTAAAAGGAGCCATCCCTAAGAGAAGGTGACTAATCATATTTGAAGTAGCCAAGTATAATCAAGGTACTGGGTATATATAATGTACAAAACTTCAGCCAAGTCAGTTTTTACTGAGAAATATATGAAGAATATATTGTCAGAAGGGGATGGGCTTTCATGCAAGAAAAGGAAAGCCCTAAGAACAAAATCTTACAATGCGATGCTAGCATTATTTATAGAAGTAAAACCCTGAATCTAGCCAATATTAGTATTCTAGTCACTAGAGAGGTGTACTTTGTGGTGGGGTAGGGATAATTCAATGGAATAGTGCAGACACAGAGGAGCCTCTAATCTTCTCTAATTCCATGTTCAATAGGCAACATTTTGATGTGACTAATTCAGACAACTAGATCCACCGATGCTTGGAAGGGGTATCCTAAATAACTGACCTAAGTATTTCATTCAGTAGCAAAACTAAGCCTCACTGGCTCTGGAGTTGTCACAAAAATCTTGTGAATATGGTTAATGTGAATTAGTCACAAGACTCCTGTGTGCACTAATAAAACTAAGTTTTAAGACCTATAAAACGTAGGACCGAACAGAAGAATGATGGCCCTAGCCAAACTGTGTCCTTTTGTGGGAGTCTGTCTGCAAGGCTAGTCCCATCCCCTCAGACATCACTAAATACTTCCAACACTGGTGCCTTACCGATAAGTTACACCTTTGTACCAAACCACTTTCACTAGTTCAGGATAGGAATATTCTTCATCAAACTGTCCTTGTGAAAGTGAATCACAAAAATTCCACCTGTGAAGGACAAAATACAAGCTATTAATTCTGGTTGCTCAACAAAATTACCTTTAGAAATCAACAAAATAGGGCAACTGTAACATTTATTTCTGGCTTAACTTGTTAGATCCAAGAAAAGTAAAAATTAATATAAAAGTGTATGAAGGAACTGAAAACTAATCTTATTTTTCCATGGGTTTTTTCCTTCAGTATTTTTAACAATCTTGTTATTCAATCTCAACACAATTACATAAATTAAGGATCCAAACAACAAATATTTCCTGCAATATCTATGCTATGCACACTGCAGATATACACCCAAAAAAGCAGACATGGTCACTGCCCTCAGGGAAGATTCCTATCAAGCAGGGATGTTAAGTAGTAAACACTGAACACAAAGAAAAGAGAATTACTGGATGCTATGGACACGTAGAAGAACCTAATCCTGTCTAGGAACTTGGGGATAACCAGCCTAAGGAAGAAAGCCTTGTGCTGGGACCAGAAGACGTGCACAAGTCAGCGAACTGAGAAAGATAAAGGAGTGCTCCTCGCAGAGGAAAGAGTAGGTGCAATGGTGAAACCAAGCTTGAACAGGCATTCTAGAGATTGTAAAAAGTCCAGTTTAGCAAGAGTAGAAAAAGCAAGGGCAAACGTGGTGAGGATCATAGACGTAGGAAGAGACCAGAAAATGGAAGGCCTGTTAAGCCATGTTTAAAGATAATGGATTTTAATCCAAAGTTAGTGGCAAGTTACTGAAAATTGTTAATTTAGAAGCCTAAATCTCTTTCAGTGTGTACTTATAATACTAGAACTTTCAATTTTAACCAAATAATCATGACCAGCCTGAAAAATCATATTTAAAATACGTATTTAAATAACAAATACGTATTGGGAGACTACCTGGGCTCAAACCCCAATTCTACAAGCACTAGCTACGTGACCCTGCTCAGATTATTTCACCTTCCTGTGTCTCAGATTCCTCAACAAAATGGGGCAATGACAGTGTTTTCCTCATGGAGCTACTATGAGAATCAAATAGCTACAGTAGAGCTGTGCCCGGCACGTAAGCGCTTTGTGTTCGCTATTACCATTATTACTCTACTACTTATGGAAGTTCATGTTACAAATCTGTAACCATTAGTTTATTCACCTCTTAGGGAGAGAAAAGATTTATATCTGGTGTTCAGAGGCTTCTCCACGTTTACCCCTTTTTTCAAAAAATTTCAATAAATAGATTTATAGTCAGCTAACCAAAGACAGGGGTGGCCTCTGAGACTAGGTATGAAAGAAAGAACCCATGCTCATCAGCAGGTCGGAACCATGCTCCAGCTACAAGGTAACGGGCTCCACTGGGTGCAGCTGAGGCTTCTCTGTGCTCACTGCCAGAGCCCTGTGCCACTACTTACCACACTTTAACCATCTTGTCAGTGACAGTGACCTTAATAGTCCCTCCTAAAAAGCAGGGACTATAGCTTAGACATCTCTATAGTCTCTGTGCTTAACAAAGTATATAGTGTATAGTCAGCCTTCCATAACCACTCAATGCGTGGACACAGAGTAAGACACATAAGGAACACATTGGCTAGGGAAATTCTTTACTATCGGTTATTAGCAAAGTTTTGGCTCACTGAGTGAACTTTCCTTATGAATGGTAGCAGATGATTACAAAAGAAAAAATATCTTTAGATAAAGACTGGCTCTGACAAGGGCTTTATGACAAATAAGCTGTTCTTCCATTACCTGTGCAGGTGTGGGACAGGACAGCTGAGTAACAGGGCCCTGGGAAGAACAGAAACCTCTTTTCCTCTTTCCTCTGAAATATCAGAAGTCAAAGTTTTATTCTGGGTGATGGCTGCATCAATTCTAGACACACTGCTGATTTTATCATGCAAATGCAGTGCTAAAGACAAGGGATATTTCCATTCCTCTGGACAGGAGGCCACAGGCCAGCATTGTTTCACCCACGTGTATACACACATGTGTTTTGTACCAGGCAGAGGTGGCTCGCCACTCCCTTCGGCTCCATTTACACAGCTCTTTTTCTCTAAAGGTTCCTTGGATTTCATGGTCTGATAGTAAAGTTCGTTTTCTTTATTCTTCAGTCTCTGTCTTGATAAACTTCCATATGTACAGATTTTGCCTGCTGTTTCATCTAGTTTGTCCTTTCTGGCTTGAATCTTCTTTTCTGACAATACTATAGATGAGTCTGGCTTCTGGCTTACTTTACACAAAAAATGTACTGTAAATTCAAGCTGCGATCTCGGCAGACAAAGGTATGCATGCCCATCTAATGATGATATCTTCACGGTGCCGCTCTGCATACACAGCATGCCATCATCAGTATCAGGACTGGGCCATCTGACTTCTGAGAAGTCAATGAAGATACGCTGAGTTGAGGAGACAGAGAGATGGGGAGTATTTTGTCAGCAGTCCAATGTTTCCACACATTCGATGCTTACATATTGTATAAGAAAGCTCTTAAAAGTTTTGTTTGTGTTTTACTATCTAGAGAGAATGAAAATGGAGAGCCAGGTGTTGGTCTATATATATGGTTTTCTAAAGAATATTTGATATTAAGATTGTCTCTCTTACAGAGAGAGATGTAAAACACACACACACAAAGAATGAGAGAGAAGGGACGCCTGAGTGGCTCATTTGGTTAAGCATCTGACTTCGGCTCAGGTCATATCTCACGCTTCATGGGTTTGAGCCCGGTGTCAGGCTCTGTGCTGATAGCTCAGAGCCTGGAGCCTGGAGCCTGCTTTGGATTCTGTCTCCCTCTCTCTACCTCTCCCCTACTCATTCTCTCTCTCTCTCTCTCTCTAAAAATAAATATTAAAAAAAAGAGAGAGAGAGAGAAAAGGAGTGCCTGTCAGTGGCTTGGTCAGTTAAGCATCTAACTCTCGATTTCAGCTCAGGTCATGATCTCACAGTTTGTGAGCTAGAGCCCTACAACGGGTTTGTGGAGCCTGCTTGGGATTCTCTCTCTCCCTCTCTGTCCCTCCCATGCTCACGTGTGTGCACTCTTTCTCTCAATCAATCAATCGATCGATATTTTTTAAAAAGAATGAGAAGAAAAATAAAAAAGTTATCCTGACTATATTTAGCGTTAGACATTTTTGTTTAAAATGTTCAATGAATCAGAGATAAAAAGATTTTCAACCCTTCTCAAATGCCTACTCTGAAAAAGAATACTGAGGGAAGACCAGCACTAACTATCATGTACAAACAACACTACAAACAATACTATATTAAAAGCAATCATAACTTAAATGATAGTATGGAACTAGTATAGAAATCACTGACAGCAATAAATAGTTGCTCTGTCAGTGATTCAGGTAATATGGAAACAGAATCAACCACATCTTAAGATGCTACATGTAATAACATAACCTTTCAGAACAAGGAGGGAAAGGGAGAATGATTTATTTAATAAATGGTACTAGAGAGGACCTGGGTGGCTCAGTCAGTTAAGCGTCTGACTCTTAATTTCGGCTCAGGTCATGATCTCATGGTTCATGAGTTCAAGCGCCACTTCAGGCTCTGCTCTGACAGCACAAAGATTGCTGGGATTCTCTCTCTGCCTCTCCCCAAAGCACGCACAAGCTCCCTCCTTCTCTCTCTCCCTCAAATAAATAAATAAACTTAAAAAAATAAAAATAAATGGTATTCTCAAAGGGTTAGCAAATACACTAAATAAGACTATCTATCCTAGATAGCACCTAGCATACCATACGCTAAAATAAATTCTAGGTAGTGGGGCACATGGGTGGCTCAGTTGGTTAAGTGTCTAACTCTTGATTTTGGCTCAGGTCATGATCTCATAGTTTGTGAGTTCGAGCCCCATGTCAGGCTCTGGGCTGATAGCATGAAGCCTGCTTGGGATTCTTCTCACTCTGCCTCTCTCTGCCTCTCTCCAGCTTGTTCTCTCTCAAAATAAATAAATAAACATTAAAAAAATAATAATAATTAATTTAAATAAAAAATTCTAGGTTGTTTAAAAAGCAACTTTTTTTTAACGTTTATTTATTATTGAGAGACAGAGAGAGAGCATGAGCATGGGAGGGGCAGAGAGAGGGGAGACACAGAATCCAAAGCAGGCTCCAGGCTCTGAACTGTCAGCAAAGAGCCTGACGCGGGGCTCAAACCCACGGACTGTGAGATCACGACCTGAGCTGAAGTCAGACGCTTAACTGAGCCACCCAGATGCCCCTAAAAAAAGCAACATTTTAAAAAACTGAATTACTCAAAAGTAAACTGATCCTGACCAATAGCACAGACTCATGACAGGTGCCAGTAACTATGGCATCTCTCCATATAAGATAAAACCAGCCAGTGTCACATAACGGTCTTTCAGCCAATTAACTTTGCAAACAGGTAAACATTTCAGCTTTCATTTATATGAAACTTTAAATTTAGAAAAGAAAGCCTCTTAAACCTACAGTGCTATTTATACGTACAGATGTTAGTACGGTATTCACTGATGGCAAAGCTGGCTTGTAAGGGTGGTCAGTTAAGAGAGTTCTCTCTTCTAGAATTAGATTATCTAATAACACTATCAGCAGCAAACTGCAGTTTCAACAAATAAAGTTACTCAAAAGATAGTGGAAAAATAGCCTTATACACTAAATTACAGCTTACGATTTTTCTTGGCTCCTTTGTCATTATCGAGTAGTGGAAAGTAATTAAAAGATATAGTCTTAAAAAAAAAAGAAGACAGTCTTCAAACAGACTGGATTCAAATCCTGACTACCTCTTAGAAAATGTCCATGAACAAGGTTAGGTAAACTCTCTGAGATTTAGTTCCCTCAGCTATATAAAGGGGATAATATCCAGCCAATATACCTATTCTGACTGGCTAAATACCCACTTTGATTATCAGAGACCCATGCCATACTGGTGTTATTAAATATTTTTAACATCATTCCTATTTCTTTGCACATAGTAAATCCTCAATAACAGCTATCATTATTATCATTATCATATCATTATTATTATTCGTAAAAGTTCAGGAGCACCTGGGTGGCTCAGTTGGTTAAGTGTCCCAACTTCGGCTCAGGTCATGATCTCATGATTTGTGAGTTTGACCCCCACATTGGGCTCTGTGCTGACAGCGCAGAGCCTGGAGCCCGCTTCAGATTCTGTGTCTACTTCTCTCTCTCTGCCCCTCCCCTGCTCAAGCTCTGTCTCTCTGTCTCTCTCTCAAAAATAAATAAACATTAAAAAAAGTTCAAAATAGAACATAAGCAAAAAAATAAAATATGTATACCTACAAATATACACATCTCTATTACACATGAACTGCACATAAACTACTGAAAACAGCCACATAATTTCTTAATTTTGACACCTCTGAGAATCAAAAAGTCATCAACCTGGAGGCGTCTGGCTGGCTCAGTCAGTAGAGCATGCAACTCTTGAGCTTGGGGTTGTGAGTTTGAGCCCTATGCTGGGTGTAGAGTTTCCTTAAATAAAAAATAAAAATAAAACGTCCAGTGTTCCGGTAAATTAATTCATACCCAGATGTGAAAGGAAGAAGGCTAAAATCCTTGCTAGTAACAGAAAAATATGAATATAAAATAAAAAGTCATTAATCTAGAAAATTCTGAGTATAATCTTTGGTTACAAAGAAAAGGTCAGGAAGATGAACTATGCATCTTCTGGGTCTCAATCAGTACATAACATATCAGGGTGCCTGGGTGGCTCAGTGGTTGGGCATCCGACTCTTGATTTTGGCTCAGGTCATGGTCTCACGGTTCGTGAATTCAAGCCCTGCATCAGGCTCTGTGCTGACACATGAAGCCTGCTTGGGATTCTCTCCCTTTCTCTCTGCCCCTCTCCTACTCATGCTCTAAGTAATAAACTTTATTAAAAAAAAAAAAAAATATATATATATATATATATACACACATATATGTAAATATAAAATATATATGGAAATATATACATATATATATGTATATATATATCATATCAGAACATCGTAGTCTGGTGAACAATATAGGCCTACACATTCTATAGCAGTGTGTATTCCCAAGTGTCATGAAGAAAAAAATTAAACTACCTGTTTCTAATTACTTGTCCTCAAATATTACTTATAAAAAAGCTTTAAAAAATTACCTTTTTTCTTTCAGAAGGTATGATGCTTTCAGATAAAAAAGGGCAAGTAGCAAAAGAATTTCGAAAATCTAGGGCTCGCTGTAGTTGCTCCTACAGAAAGAAATACAAAACATAACCTTCAAAAAATGTAAAATAATTTGAAAATCAATTCAGAGTGATAGTAATCTAGAATACTAATTACTTTCCATATTCTAGCTACCTCACCAATACTCTGGTACCAAAAAGAGTTGTTTTTAAGCCATTACTTACTCGGTAAGTGCTGATAACAAAATGTGTCCTTTGACGAATTCTTTCTGGTCGTTCTAAAGGATGTGCTGAAACAGGAGGTGCCTTTTCAAATAAAAATTCAGAGCCACAAGGAGAAAGCTGTAGTCTGGAACCATCAGCATATTGCACTTGCACGGAATCATCTTCATAAAGTACCATTTGCACTTCAGCTGCCATTACTATGACTACGGATAAAATGTCCTTCCAAGGAGAAGACTGAATAGGAAACAGGGTAGCACAAATTGTTCCCTTAATGTACAAAAGTTCTATCATAAAAAGTGAATGCATTTTCTAAGAACATAAAGAAAACATATTTTCGTTGCATTTATTTTTTTGGGGGGAAAAGTGATTACTTTACTACATACTTTTAAATGATCTGAAATTAACAACCTTAACAGAATGCCTTACCCCCTAGAGCTTTACTCCAGGGTGGGAAGATAACCTAGAGGGAGAAGAAAGCCCACCTAGTTATAACTGCCTTTACAATTTCAATAGCTTTAGTTTTCCTGAAGTTTAAATTCTGTAAATTCTATGCTCAGTAACTAATTTCAAATAAAAGGAAATTCCACCTTTGCATAAGAATACAGCAAATCATTTGTAATGCATGCAAAAGGCAGGCCAAAACTATCAGGCCTAAGAAAAAAAGAGTACTGAAAAAGAAATCCCAATACCTGGATTTTTGTCCCTAGTCTGACATTAAAGAAGAAGTTCCATGTCACTACTGAGCAAGTTAATTAATCATAGAGTGTCTTAGACTCATTCTTACTTCACTGAATTCAATTTCTTTTTCCCTACCTTTAAATGTGTCATCACCTATGCTTTCCATATAGGGATGACTGAAGGGGAATTAGAGGGTTGGGTTCCATTCATACTCTAAAATTTACTAGACTAGTTAAATGCCTCAAGTTGTCTGTTTCCCTTATTTGTAACATGAGGGACAGTAACAGGATTGTTGCAAGGATTAAACAAGGGAACACATTTGCCAGTCCCAGTATTGCAATGTCGAGTTCAATAAATCTTATGATTCCTTTCTAACACCAACCCCATCCTCTCTGACACTTACCCACCTCCCTCTAGGACATCATCCTTTTTAAGACTTTCCTTTCTAAACACTAACCTAACCCCTTCTAGAACATTATCTTTTGCCACTCAGGTGATCAACTTTCACCTGACAGAAAAAAGTAACGTTCCTCAGTTTACCTTTTTCCTACCAAAAAACTTCTCAAGTAAAGTATCCACTCATTATCTACTTTCACTCCCATCCATCTTCAATCCATTGCAATCCAGTTTCCTTCCACCTTCGTGCTGGAATTGTTGCACTGATTCAGAACTGTCACCAATGCCTCCCTGCACCCAGTAACTTCAGTCTTCATCCTACTAAACTGGTCACTGTGATAGTGTTATCTACCTTTCTCTGCACCGAATTGTGTTCCTCTGCCTTTTTACTTTTTTAAAAAAAGCGGGAGTGGGGGGGGAGTGCCATGGTTTACCCCACCACATCTACCGGTTTTTGATTTTTTTGTTTTAAGTAGGCTCCCCACCTGACGTGGGGCTTGAACTCATGATCCTGAGGTCAAGAGTCACATGCTCTACTGACTGAGGCAACCAGGCACCCCTACCTCTGTTCTTAGTTTAATCATTCCTTTTCACCATTCTCTTAAATCAAGGATTTAAGACCTGACCTCAGTCCCCATTTCATCTCTTCTTACTATATACACCCGTGTTGCTTTTACATCCACCCTTGGTTTTTAAAAGAGTCTTGGGGCGCCTGGGTGGCTCAGTCGGTTAAGCGTCTGACTTCGGCTCAGGTCATGATCTCGCGGTCCGTGAGTTCGAGCCCCGCGTCGGGCTCTGTGCTGACAGCTCAGAGCCTGGAGCCTGTTTCAGATTCTGTGTCTCCCTCTCTCTCTGACCCTCCCCCATTCATGCTCTGTCTCTCTCCATCTCAAAAATAAATAAACGTTAAAAAAAAATTTTTTTTAAAGAGTCTTACCCCCTTTCAATGTATGTAATCGGCTACATATGACTGGCCTATAATCTTCTGTAGAATATGTCAGAATACAAGTAAACATTAAACCATATGGTCTCTCCTGAGGAGAGCCACACAATTTTATTTCTTCTCTCTAGAGAACTTCCAAATCCACCAGATCCCTCCCAGTGCTTCCAGCTGCCTGATAGACCTCTCTTCATGTTCCACTCAATCCACATGACTAAATTAATCAAACTCAATCCACATGACCAAAATGGAACATAATCACTCCCATCAAAGCAACTTCTGCAACGTCCCCTAATTTCACTTTCATTCTTACCTCCCTCAAGTCCAGGCTACATACAATAGCCACAGAGATCTTTTAAAATAAAAATGAGATCTATCACATGCTGGCTCACAATCTACCATTCTGCACTTACATGACATTCCTAACCATGGCCTATAACAGCCACATAATGTGGCCCCATCTCCCTCTCCAAATGTCATCTCATAACTCTCTCCTTGCTCAGGACACTTTAGCTACACTGGCCTTTTCAATGTTTTTAAAACAGGATGTTTCCTATATCAGAACCTTTGCACTGTTTTTGGCTTAGCCTGTCCTTCCCCTGGCTTATCACATGGCTGGCTCTTTGTCTTTTAAGCTTAAATATCACTTCCTCAAAGGCCTGACTTTATTGTTCCCAGTCATCTCCCAATCACTTTTTATCCATTTCATCTTTCTTACTCATAGCATCTATCACTATCAAAACTGATTCTATTCATTTTATCGCTTTTTTACTTTGCCCACCAGGGTATAAACTCAATCAAACCAGGCCTCATCTGTCTTACTCACCATTGTATCCCTGGCATTTAAAACAATAGTTGGCAAATACTAAGGGTCCAATAAATATTTATTTAATGATGAAAGAATAAGCAAGTGAATTTCAAAATTCTTGTTCCTCCTGAATTTGCAATTTAAGTTAATGGCGTCTCAATGTTAGCAATATTTCTCTCCACAGCCCTGTAACATGTCTTGTTGATTTGGTAGGTTTCTTTTATGAACCCGGCTCCTTTTCCATTTCAGTTCATCAACTTTCCCCTTCATTTCTGCAACTATCTGGGACCTTCTTCCAGTTTCTTCCCTCTCCAATCCATTTCCAGTATTGCTGTTATAGGAAACTTTCCACTATCCAGACCATACCAAACATTTTACAACACTTGATTACATACTTGTTCGTTTAGCAATATTCATAACAATACATGTATTTATACTGCATATATGTAAACATATATATAGAAATACAGTTAATACATATAAATAGAAATATATCTCAGATGTCTACTTGCTATTTCAGAAAAAAATAGAAATATATGTGTGTGTGTATATATACATATATATATACATATATATCTATCTATCTCAGATGCTATTTCAGAAAAAAATAAAAATTGCCGAATGGGAAAAGATCTCTATGTTTGGCCAAGTTTTTAATTAAAAAAAAAAAAAAAAAGTTAGAGATATAGTTGTTATTTACTTAAATAACAAGCATACACAAGAAACAGTGGAATATTTAAAGTTCCCAGCCTATCATAAAAAAACATAATCCGGCTCCAACCCACATTTCAGCTTCATCTTTACCGTCTTATTCCTGTTTGTTTTCACCACCCAGTACATTACGTCACAGTATATTTAACAATCTCCGTACTTGACAAGTCTGTACTTGACATCAATTGGACCTCATTTTTCAAAATGGCAATATGTAGTTACAGAAAAAGCCTCACCAAAACAACCACCAACGTCTTGGGACTCAACACGGCAATTCTGAGATGAAAAGTCGCGGAAATAAGGCCAATCAACGGCCCCTGTGCTTTAATTTGCCAAAATGCTTGAAGTCTGCCCACGACTGCTTCTCGATGGATATTTCATGAATCTGACAAATTACCAACAAGTTATGTTTCTTGATGAGAGAAAACAGTGACAAGCGCAGAGGAATAAGGCCACAGGGAGAATATTTTTAGCCGAGACGTTCGTCGAGTCAGCAGCGGGAGAGAAGCTGAAACGCCAACCACCTCCCCGCAAAATAAACACAGGAAATCAGCAGTTCAAATCTTCCCTCAACCCGCGGAAGCGTCTTTCCTCTCCAAAAGACCGGAAGTCCCGCCCAAGCACGCCCTCTGTTCCGGGGGCCAATCCGTCGAGCGCCCAGCAAGAACGGGACCGGAAGTAGGGGAGGTGGGCGTTCCCAGTCCTGAATGTGGTTGCTTCCTCTTTGATCTTTACTTCCGATACTCAAAGGTTGGTACCCGCCCCACCTGGTTGTGACTCCTCCCGTGAGGACCAGCGTCTGATAGCTCAGCCAAGAGCTAACCACATGGGTGGATTTTAGTGGACTAACGCTTATTTAATCTAAACAAAAATGATACCTTAATAAAGCTGTAAAAAACAAAAAACAAAACCGAAAAAACTTGGGTCAAAGAGACCTCTTCTTTTTCTAATTTGGTGTCAGAAAATATCTTTCAACTATGTATCTGCGCTTTTTTCCTAAGTAGCAAGTAGATGTGTCCGATAAATTTATTGTCATTAAGTATTTATGGAGAACCTACTATGTGCTGGGCACCTTAGAAATAAGGCAGGGAGTGCGACCCAGGGTAGAAGATGAGGACTGGAGATGAACTGGAAAGAAAGTAGACAGTAATTTGATCACAGTTGTAGTAAGTGTTCCTAAAATAGAATACAGAGGTCTGTGAGAGCATGTAATGGACAGACCTGAGGCTGAGGAAGTATTTCCAGTGAAATCCAAAGGGTAGGTAGGTTTAGCCAGGTACTGTGGGGGTGAAACTGTTTCAAACAGAGGTAACACAGGGCCCTGAGGTCCAAAGGAAAGATCTTGACCCTTAAAAAGCTAGTTTGGTTTAAGAACGGTTATAGAGAGAGGCTTTTAGGGGAGAGAAAGCCTGAAGGGGGTGATAGAGATAAGTAAGGGCTAGATCATTATGGTTTCATGAATTATGGATTCTATCTTAAAGGCAATGGTAGGGGTGCCTGAATGCCTTAGTTAAGGGTCCGACTCTTATGGTTTGTGGTTTGAGCCCCAAGTCTGACTCTGCACTGGCAGTGTGGGGCCTGCTTGGGATTCTTTCTCTCCCTCTCAGAAATAGACATTAAAAAAAAAAAAAAAGGCAATGGTAAACTATTACAAGGGCTTTAAGCAAAAGTGGCAACAGCAAGGAATGGGGAGAAATCTAACTCCTTACATTCATCTCCATTTTTGAAAGTCTGATAAGCAAATTGACTTCAAGCTTATGTAAAGTATAATAAGGGGATCTTCAGATGCCATGTTTTCATTGATCAGTAACATCAATTTGTATCACACAGTACTTAGGTCCTATCCTGTTCCCACCTTTTTTCCCCTCTAATGACTAAGAACCTCCTATTTGTTAACCGTCTACTACAAGGGGGTTTTACGATGCTATTTGTACTTTAGAAAGATACCTGGAACAGCTGGGTAGAGAATGGATTGTAGGATGTAGGAACAGATGTGGGGAGCCCAATAGTCTGAAAAAGCAACAGGAGAGATGGCATTTCAGACTCAAGATTAGACCTGAGTCTGGAGAGCACAGCTCCAAGAAATACTTAGATCAATTCTATAGTCTTGGGGATGACTGAACAGGCATTGAAAACAGTTCCAGCAGTTCTGCTGGAGCAAGTGGATAGGTAGCAGTGCCATCAGTAAGAGGGATGCAAGAAAACAAAATTTAGGGAATAGCATGACTTAAAGTTTGTGAGTCGTCCTAGTGGAAATGGCAAGTTAGCAAAAAGTGTAGAAACAAACCAATCCGGAAGTCAGTGTTGATAGCTGCTAACTGAAGCTTTAGGAGAGGATTAAATAGCCCAAAGATACAGTGACAGAAGAAAATGTTCAGGAGTGGGCTTTGAGGAACACCAATACTCAATAGATTAGCTAAGGGAAGAGAATCCCACAAACACTGGGGAACCACATAAAGCCAGAAAGGCTATTCTATTCCAGGTGCCTAGAGGTTGTCAATTTTGGTGTCACTTGTGTCAGATATTGCCTAGAGAACAAGCTAAAGAATCAAGTATCTGCTTGATTTAGTGGCATAAATGTAATCAGCAAGGGCTGTTGTATGTAGTGGCAGCAGAAGCTATGTGTTTGAAGGGCAAATAGGAAGTAGAAGAAAATGGGATATTTGAAAAATCTCACTAGAAAGCATAGAACTGTAGTTGGGAGAGAAATGTTAAGGGCCAGATTTCTCTCAAGAATGACATGTTTGACAGCTCATGCAAAGAGGTTAAAAAAAAGAAAAAATACAGACTAAGTAACAAGAGAGTTCATGAGTCAGAGGGCACAGGTTTTGGGCACACGTGGAATACTTGGCCTTTAAGAGGAGGGATACATCCTGTACAAGAGGAAAAATGAAGTGAACGTAGATGCATTTGTATACATCTGCCCAATTTCTTCTGTGAAGCAAGTCCTTAGGGGATGAGGAGCAAATAGAGTGGAGAGTTTGAGATAAACAAGGTAATAAACACAGATCGCTGGCAGTGCTGACAGCCTAGGTGGCGATTATGAATTTACACTGGCACTAACCTACCAGAAAACATGGCTTCCAGCTGCCTGGGTGAAGCAGGTCCATCCAGGGTTGGTGCTTTGCCAGGCTGACAACACAGTAGCAGTATACGTGACCTCAAATTATTTACGTATACCAAAGTCTAGTCAGCCAAAGATCACCAGGCTCAAGCCAGCAGGCTATTAAAATAGGGACTTGTAAGCAAGGGAGCAAACTCCAGAGAAAAAACAAACGGCGTGCTACACTAGGGGGAAGAGGGCACCGACTGGTAAGATGTGGACTCCTGCTGAAGGATTCTGAGCAAGTTCTGAGGGAAGGGATACTGGTTCTGTGTTGGATGTTGTTTCTGAAGCAGGATTAGAAGCAGGGATTAATTAGGGATGTGGTGCTGTCATGACGGGAGGACTATTTAGCAATTGGGTATCCCCAGGAATAGATGGGTGGGATAACAAAGCAGGTCTGAAGACAGCATTGGTAACAAAGCAGTGGCCATGCAAAGGGTCACGGTGGCAGTTAAAATTGCATGACTTTGGGGAAAATGTGTCCTGTTAACTTTGCAGCTGGCTTTATCTGTGTCTGTCCTCCCAGACTGATTAACAGCAAGGGTACTTTTATTTCAGTGAGCAGATTTTCAGTCCTTCAGTCCTGAACAACTTTTTACTCTTTCATACCAAGTATCATCTTCTCTTGCTAAGTGATTTTTTTTCTTAAATGAGAACCTCCTCCATATCCACCTGTCCTATAGTTCATGAAATACCTAGTCATTGAATTGCCCCTTTTCTGACCATATTCAATCTAGAGTGAAACTCCAGTTTCTTAGGCCCTCTCCCAAATTATTCAACCAAAGCCCAAACCCCATGATGGGTTCTAAACACTCTCTGACACACCCTACAGTTCCCCTTGGTGTGTATTCTGCTTTACTGCAAAAGTACTAAATCCAACCTGTTCAGATACATGTGTGTTCCTGGTAGTCTTTGGCTGGAAGGGCACTGAAAACAAAGACATAAGGTCAGAGTTGACGACACAAGAGCCAGATTTTGCTGGTACAAACCAATACTTGTGCTTTGTTACCAGAACAGAAGCCTAGGACATTCATTAGCACTTTTGTGTCCTTGCTCACTGGAGACCTATAAGATCTTAGGACCCATATTTCTGTTGAAGATACAGCAATTCTAAAGGCCAACAATTACAGCGCTGGCCATCTCTTCATGATATACTGTTGCAGTTTAAAACATGTCCGCACATTTCTTAATGGCCTCCTATCTGATATGGCTTTAATGACTCACTTAGAACCAAGACTGTAATGGAAAAAATGCTGTGTGCACCTTCCAGATGCAGCTTCTTCCTAGGTCTTCTACAATGCCCCCTCTCAAAATCCAGCTGCCATGTTTGTGAAAAGTCCAGGCCACATGGACAGGCCATGTGTAGATGGGTCTGGCCAAGTGATATCTTCAACTCATCTCAGCCCAGTCATCAGCCATGTGAGTGAAGAAGACTCAAGATGATTACAGCCCCCGGCTGTTGGAACTGCCTCCAGCCCTTAGTTTTCCTGGTTGAGGCCTCAAACATTGCAGAATAGAAAACAAACAAACAAAACACAAACCCACAACTATCCCTATTGTGCACCATCCAAATCACTCCAAAGAACTCACGAGAATAAGATGCTTATTGTTTGAAGACACTAAGTTTGGGTGGTTTTTTAGGCAGCACTAATTAACTGGAACACACTGGAACTGAACCAGGGCCTATTGGTACCTGTTGAGTATAGCAGTGGTGAGTGACAATGAGCTAGTGGACAAAGCTGGACGGTTATTCACAGAGCAACTGCTAGAAGTTTATAGCATACTCAGCTATGATGTACTTGGTCCCCGGTCTAATGTACTGCCCCTTCCCTACACCCTTTTCCCCACCCCCAAGATTTACACTGAGCACAGTCCTTGGAGAACTGCAGATGAAAGTAATTATCTACCATGTCACAGGAGCCATTCTGAAAAAGAGAATCCTACTACAAGTTCCAAAAACCCCAACTATGTATATACTTCCCTTTTACAATAAGGAATCTAAAAGGTATTTTACATTTGTTAATTTTCCCAAGTAGACTTGTTATTGAACTAAATAACACACACACTGAACAAAATATCTCCTCTCCTAGTATAGTTTGATTTCAAACCCTTTTACAATGTCACATAAAAGTTCAACAGATATTCTTTAATATCAGGATATCACTCCAAAAACTTAGAGGAAACAAAACTATTTAAATTTTATTTTCAAAGTCTAATTTTAATCCAGACTGAACAAACAAGCAGAAAAGTGAGAAACCTAACTGTATTAGCAGACACAGATGTACCAAATGTAAAACAGTGGGTTATTAACAGAACTATTTACATGCATTATTTACAAGCAATCCTTTTGTACAGAAGTTTTACTTTTATAGTTAGTTGGAAAAAGACGTTAGGTAAAAATATTTTTAAATAGGGCTGAGGTGGTACTACATTATAGTAAAAGTATTAGAAAAGTGATCCTCAAGGTGTATCAATTATAAAGCAGATGAAAACCTGAATGACAAAGATCTAGTAAAATTCTCTAGTAAAAAAGTCAATGCAACTCATGCTACAAAATAAAAATGAAAGCCATATAAATAAAGCAGAATGTTGTTGGCTTTAGGGCAATGAAGTTAGAAAACAAACAAACAACAACAACAACAAAAAAACTCAATTCTAGAATCGCAATAAATGCTCAATGAAGAATCCTGGTTGTTTAGTTGGGAGTTTTAAGTTTTTGTGGGTTTTTTTTGACATTTTAAAAGCCCTTGGTATCAAACAGCACTTGGATATGTCTATCGCTTAATGATATATTCTAAGACTTTAGTGCTAAAGATTTTCATGGTTGTGATTCATATCTGAAACCCATTCATTGAGACCATGTAAAACTAAATGAAAGCTATATACTCATCTAAAAAAGGATGCTACATTTTGCAATAATATGTATTTCCAGCCTAAAACTTTTTCCCTCAAGAAAAGTAGAATTTAAAGGATAAGCTTCTAACCAACTAGCAAAATTTACTTTCAACATTTCATTTATTTCAAAATCGATTTTATTGCAGCCAAAACAGTGGAATTAACTGTACATAATAAACTATTATATATATATACACATTTTAAGTTATAGGGAATAAAGTTTATTTTGGCAGATAGTGTTAAACAAAATTAAAGTTGCATACATTAGTAACATAACTCAACATCCTTAATTTGGTATAAGTGTGACACATTTTCCTGCTTTCCTGTGTTCTGCTAAATCACCATAACCTAAACTGCTTTATAAAACTGATATGTTGAAATTTAGCTTTACTGTTTTCGCTTACGCTCTGATTCCAAACAAAACTTTTCATAAGCTTCTTCTATCTCTGGGTCCATCTCATCATCAATATCATCCAAGTATCTATGAAAGAAGTAAAGATGATTCATAAGTTTAATGTTTTTCAATTCAGAAATATCTAAAATGCTAAACCACACACACACACACACACACACACACACACACACACACACACAGAAAGTATGGTACTGTAACTATCTTAGACTGTTAGAGAATGCATGTACTTTCCTGAATCACATACATGTCAGCCCTTAGACAACTAAATGCCTTATCTGGGAAATTCAATTTTACACCAGATTCTGAGTCTCTTGTGTTTGAAGTTAAGCTTCTGTCATACTTTTAGACATAAATTAAAACTTAAAAATTTAACCTAAGTAATCTCTACACCCCAAGTGGTGCTCGAACTCACAACCCTGAGATCAAGAGTCTCATGCACTACCGACTGAGCCAGCCAGGCACTGTGACACATGTTAAATTCTTAACCTAACCTAAAAGTTAATTTAAATGCTTGAACTATAAATTTGGGGGCTCAAGATTAGCATTTTCATAAATTTATCTTACTAACAATCACACTATAATTAGAACATAATTTCAGATGTACCATTTACCTCTAATGATACATTTTATGTCTACTTATCAGAATGGTATCCCTGAAATAATTTAGTCACATTCCCATTTATTTGGAATCACTTTCATAATAAGCTACTTTCGAGATCATCTATCTCAGAATTTTTTCAACTATTAGGTAGTTTAAAATGATGGAAAACAAAGCTTTCCATGGTTAAGTATGGGTGGAAAGTTTAAAGTGATTATTGATTTAATAATATACATTCTTACTGAAAACCCACAGCCATCTTAAAAAGACAGATACTACTATCATTTCCGTATTTCTCATCTCCATTTTTTTTTTTTAAATTTTTTTTTCAACGTTTTTTATTTATTTTGGGGGCAGAGAGAGACAGAGCATGAACGGGGAAGGGGCAGAGAGAGAGGGAGACACAGAATCGAAAACAGGCTCCAGGCTCTGAGCCATCAGCCCAGAGCCCGATGCGGGGCTCGAACTCACGGACCGCGAGATCGTGACCTGGCTGAAGTCGGACGCTTAACCGACTGCGCCACCCAGGCGCCCCTCCATTTTTTTTTTAAAGTAATCTCTATGCTCAATGTGGGGCTTGAACTCACAACCTTGAGATCAAGAGTCACATGTTCTATGGACTCAGCAGCCAGGCACCCTTACCATCTCCATTTTAGAGATAAAAGAAAAAAGACTTTGGGAGGTTAAGTAAATACTGTAAGATTTGGGTAAGTGTGTGGCACAGCCAGAAATCTTTTCCCTTTTCTATACTTTTCCTCTACAACAACACGCTATCTATGTGTCTCCCCACCTCGCAAAAACCCCTTGCACTACATGTGTGACAAAACTATCTTGCCAGTTCTATCAACTTTTTCATTTTGTTCCTCCATTTCCAGTACAAGGCCATGTGCTGAAATGGCCACCAGTGTGTTAGTGTCAGAGCATGTAATACTGACCAAGCAAAACTTCACAGGACAACCTGAAATTCAAGGCCAAGAACAATTTGAACTTACAGTGGTATACCCAGCAGGGGTGAACCTTCTTAACGGTTTTGGAGTCCTTACATCCCTGCTATTATTTTTTTTTAATGAACTAGTATGTAAAAGTATGGTAACATTAGAAGATCTCAAATGGACTTAAGATTTCACTAGATAGCAGAGAAAATAAAGGTGGTTCACTTTAAAACCTACAGCACACATGAGAGAGAAGATAAGAAAAATTAAGTCAGATTTAGTTCATTCATTCCTCCACTTAGGAAGAGAACCTGAGTAACTTGTCCAAATTCATATAAACTATTAAGAGCTAGAACTAAACCTCTCAAGTTCTTGGTTCTTCTGTAACCAAACACAATGCAATCTGATGGTAAGGGTGTGACAAAAGTTTCTTTTATTACAAATAATAGCAGGGAGAGAGATGGAGATATGTGAATATCTCACACCTTCCCTTTAGTCCAAACACTATTATGTCATTATCGGTGTTCTCCTTAATCTTAATTTATCCTTTAACAGCCGAGATCTGAGCTTTTTACTGTGTGCCAGGAGGTGGTTCTAGGTTTCTCACTTAGTCCTCAAAACTCAAAGAGGGGTCTGCTATCCCTACTTTACAGATGAAGAAACAGGCATAGAACCTGCCCAAGATCTTACAGTATTCGAGCTGAACTAATCTACTTTATAAAACTACGCTTGAGTATACTACTATTTTAAGTTTTTCCCCTTCAGATATATATAACGTTTCAGAATTGTAGTTTATGTGTTCTAATAGGATTTCTTGAAAGTTTTTGGTAGACAAGTAGTATGTACATATCACTGTGACACCATCAAATCACAACGTGCATTCTTCATCTACCTTCTTCTAACCTAAACATCTACAAACCGTAGCCATAGAAACATCACAAAGAAAGCAGAAAAAAAGAGAACTTACGGATCACCAGCCCCTGATAAATCTGTCCCATTTTCTTCATAATCTGGAAAAAAATCTTCTCTTTCAAGTAACTCTTGATATTTCTCTTGGTAATCTGTAAAAAGTTTTTTTTAGTTAAATGCTGACAAAAGTCAAAAAAGGCCAGTTTTCCTTAAAAATTGTTTTTAATATTAGGAGTTTTAAGTAGATCCAAGGCTTAAACAGGAGTGAGCTACCAATCACATTTTATTAGCTTTTTACAAAATTTACATTCTAATTGGCTTGCTTTTGCTACCTGCATGCCCATAGAGCTTAGTTATAATATTCGTCTAACTACATCTTGCAAATCAAAGTCACCGTGAATATACCAGAGTACAGGTCACATCCAAGGTGTATGCTGCTTATATTCTCTGCGGCTTCATTCCAGAAGACAAAATACCAGCTACGTAACTTGTTGGGAAAGTACATGTTCTTCCAAACCTCTTTCACAAGGAAGGATTTCAATCAAATAGCCTGGCCTCTGGGTCCCCTTACTTTCCCCCAAGAAAGTAAAGTGAGCTAGGTGGCTAGCAGCTAACAGCCACTGGCCCATGTTTCTCAATCAGATTAGCTAACCTAGCAAAGGTTCTGAGCACAGGGGATTTTCTTTTCTTCCCTCTCCTTAGAGACAGCTGGAAGGTAGCTACTTGATAAATGTTTCAACTATACTAACTTTCCCTTGGTTGGGTGCTTCCAAGGCAATACAGGTAGTATTATAGCTCCCCATAGGCCAACTTCTCACACAGAGTTACTACGTGTCTTTTAAGAGTAGCATGTTCATACTGAGTACCTCTCTGAATGAGAAAAAGATCAGTGTGTATTCAAACTAGTTACCTTAAACAGATACCTCATATTTCAACAGGATAATTACATTAGAACTTATTTTTCCAATTGCCAGTCTCTAGAAAACTAATTCCAGCTTAAAGAGTTGGGGATATTTTGACATCTGGTTTTGGCAATTTAGAGACAAATTTAACTATAAAATCTTCCTGCAACAGATCCTTGAGGTAATAGAGAAGACAAACATTCTTTGACATGTACAGAAGGGGTTCATAAAAAAGCAAACCAAGTCACCAAAAAACAAACAAGAAGATACCTGAAAACCATACCTCCCTACTGCAGCCAGGAGGCTGTAGACCACACGCTCTCAGCCACAAAGGGGACTGGACTGAAAAACCCACAGAAGGTCAGAAAGCAAGGTCCTGGGTCCATGTGAAACAGGGACATGGAATTCATGCCCATGCCCACCTCTCCGAGCACAAATCCAGCACCCTCCAAGGGCGGATATCCCAAGCAAAAGGTAGACCAAGAAAAAATAAAATGCGAGACACTCTGGTGGCAAAGACGGATAACAAAGAAACTTGCCGGTGTCTTCTTGGGTTTGGAGTATGGACAAAAGTACCCTGAAGAAACTGGTCCCTCAGAGAATTTTGAACAATGGGCCTGCACCTCAAATTTCTACTACCCACATGAAAAACCCCTATGACAAGAGGTGTCCCTTGCGCAATTTTTACTTTTGTAATTACACTTTTCTGTAAATTTGAAATCATTTCCAAAAAATGTTTTAAGATCATTAAATATCAGATTGCAATAAAAAAGATCAAAATAAAAAAAATCTGTGTGATAAAAAATAACAGGATTAGAATTAAATGACAAAATGTGAAACAAAAATAAGCAGGTTTAGAAGGACAAAAAACAAAAGGACTTGAAAATCTAAAGATCAAGAGACTTAAGCAAATGAGACAAAGACGAAGAACAAAGAACCAAATGGTTCAAGGTAACTTTGAAGAATAAGGAAGAAAGAAAAATCATCTTACCAGACATGGCAAGATTTACAGTGAAGTAGTAATTACGACTGTGGTATTGGTGTTGAGACAAAAGATCCACATGCATGGACACAGGAATGATACAAGTCTACAGAGGAGGCACACATCAGAGGGACATTGTAACTAGCACAGGATGGAAGACTCAACACCTGTTGCTGAGACAAGATAATATGGAAGAGATATTTAATTTCCACTACATCCATCATATAAAAATTAGCCAGACGGGTTAAAGAAAGACCTAAATATAAAAAAGAAAGACTTGAAGAAAATGGAATTTGATAGTAATTCGGAAACTTTCTTAGCCACAGGGAACAGGAACAAGACAGCTACGTTTACATCAAAACTCAAAGCTTCTATATGACAAGGCAAACATAATGGAAAGACAGCACATACAGGTAGAAGCTAAGAGTCACTTTGTAAGCTATGGAATGAATGAATTATCAGGTAAGACAGACTGGTGATCCAACAAAACACAAACAGGCAATTTGCAAAAGGAAAAAAATCAATAGAAACATGGAAAGAAACTCATTATCACTAGTAAGGAAATAAAAGTTCACGATTTTGCACGATCTAACTGACAATAATTAGGTCCGCTAATAAGTGAGAAACAGGAACCTGCACATCTTGTTGAGGGAATACTAACTGGTGTCATACAGGAAAGCAGGTTAGCAACATTCAGTGAAGTTGAAGACGCACAAAACTTACAATGCAGCGACTGTACCTCTTTACCCCAAAGAAACTCCTGCATGTGCACAAGGACTACTTAATAAGGTTTGTATAGTGTAATCTGTAACAACAAGTAGCCACCCTTAAGTATGGACCTAGAACCTGTGGTTTACTCTGCACGCAGAAGTATTTGGCGTTTAAAATGAACTAAAGCTACATATACCTCAACATGGATAAATACTAAAAATACTAAATAAAAAATAAATTGCAAGAGATGTACACAATAAGATACCATTTACGTCAATGCTTTGTGCGAAAACACACCGTTTACAGACGTATCAAGTAAAAAGACCTCACCAGGACTTCCAACTTCAGGATGGTAACTACCTCTGGGAGGGAAGCAGTGGAAGGACTGGCTTTGGGAGGTAGGGATGGGGTTACAGAACAAAATGGTTTACTAGTCACCGGTAAGGTTTCACTTCCTTAAGAACACCCAAAGTGTATATTAATATGGCAAAATGACATTGGTTTAAACTTGACAGTGAATAAATCAGTTTTTTTGTGGTTTTTAGGGCTTTTGAATGCTTCATAATTTACATTTTTTTAATTGT